GTTATCAGTAATTATCCGATTGGGTACCCGGAACCAGTGCACAATGTTGATGAAGAAATCTCTAGCCTTGTCTGCTGTGATTGTGATGACTGGTTTGGCTTCGATCCACTTGGAGAGTTTATCAACCGCTACAAAGAGATGAGTATAACCACCGATAGCTTTCTTGAATGGGCCGACCATGTCGAGCCCCCAAACCGCAAACGGCCAAGATAATGGAATGGTTTGCAACTCCTGAGCTGGTAGATGAGTTTGTCGGGCGAAGAATTGACAACCTTCACATGTTCACACAATTTTGTCGGCGTCGGACACAGCTGTGGGCTAGAAAAAACCCTGCCGATAGGCCTTGCCAACAATGGTTCGTGCGGCAGCGTGATTGCCACAGATGCCTGAATGTATGTCTCTTAGCAACTGTCTTCCTTCTTCTAAAGACACACAGCGTTGCAGAATCCCTGATGGACTTTTCTTGTATAGCTCGGTCTCATGTACAACATATAGTTTACTGCGTCTGGAGATCCGCTCAGCTTCATCTTTATCTTGAGGAAGTTCTTGTTTGGTTAAAAATTTGATGAGGGGCTCTCTCCAATCGGCTTCAATCATACTTACTTCTTGAGCATCCATAGCCTCGACTGTTTCTTTCCTTAATATGGTTGGCTCATAAAGATGCTCGACGAACACGTCGGAAGGAGCTGCTTCTCGCTTTGAACCAAAATTAGCCAATCTGTCGGCTGCCTCATTATTATGCCGAAGGACATGGGTTAGCTCAAGACCGTTGAACTTATCTTCTAACTTGCGTACCTCCTGCCGATAGGCGGTCATATTCTTAACAAGGTAGGACCACTCTTTCATGACCTGGTTGACAACCAGCTGAGAATCTCCACACACTATCAAACGCCGAATTCCCAAGGAGATTGCAATCCTTAATCCATGAAGAAGCGCCTCATATCCGCCACGTTATGGGACGCAGAAAAATGTATCCACAACACGTAGCTCAGTCTTTCTCCAGTCGGGGAAATCAGAACAACTCCTGCTTCGGTGCCTGAGAGCCTCTTCGACCCGTCAAAATGCATAGTCCAATACTCCATTTTCTCCACAGGTGTGTCTTCCTGGCACTCGGTCCACTCGGCGACAAAATCTGCTAGAGCTTGGGACTTGATCGAAGTCCGCGGCTTGAAAGATAGATCCAAAGACATCAACTCTAAGGCCCACTTTGCGATCCGCCCATTTGCTTCGCGGTTATGAAGTATATCCCTGAGTGGAAACGACATAACCACCGTAACCGAGTGACCTTGGAAGTAGTGAGATAACTTCCTGATGGTAATCAAGACTCCATATAACAACTTTTGGACCTGAGGATATCTTGTCTTGGAGTCAGCTAAATCCTCGCTGACGAAATAGATTGGTCGTTGGACTTTTTGAACATGGCCTTCTTCCTCACGCTCAACAACCAGGACCGTGCTTACAACCTGGGAAGTTGCCAACACATATAACAACAGCGGCTCTTGCGGATGTGATGAAGCTAAGACCGGTGGAGTAGTGAGAAGTTTCTTGAAGTCTTCAAAGGCTTTTTGTGCTTTGGGTCCCCACTGAAAATTATCGGTTTTCTTTAGCAGCTTGAAAAAGGGCATCCCCCGCTCGCCGAGTCGTGAGACAAACCGGCTGAGCGCCGCCATGCCCTCGGTTAGCTTTTGAACGTCTTTCCGGGAGCTTGGCGGTTTCATGTTGAGGATGGCGTAGATTTTCTCCGGGTTGGCTTGTATGCCCCTATGGGATACCATAAAGCCAAGCAGCTTCCCTAATGGTACTCCGAAGATACATTTTTCAGGGTTTAATTTCATCCTGAAGGCGCGGATGATTGCAAAGGTTTCTTCTAGATCCTCAATCAAATCGTCCTTCTGCTTGGTCTTGACAACCACATCATCGACATAAGCTTCTACGTTGCGACTAATCTGAGTTGAAAAGCATCTCTGGATCATGCGTTGATATGTCGCTCCTACGTTCTTCAATCCAAAAGACATGGTGATATAGCAGTAGGCCCCGAAGGGCGTGATGAATGAAGTCTTTAAGCAGTCGGAATCCTTCAGTCGGATCTGATGATATCCTGAGTAGCAATCCAAAAAACTGAGTAGTTCGCAGCCGGCGGTTGAGTCGACTACCTGGTCAATGCAAGGCAACCCGAATTGATCTTTGGGGCAAGATTTGTTGAGGTCGGTGTAATCGACACACATGTGCCATTGTCCCGTTTTCTTCCGAACCAGGACCGGGTTTGCCAGCCAGTCGGGATGTAGGACTTCTTTGATGAAGCCTGCTGCTAATAGCTTGGTTAATTCCTCCTTGATTGCATCCTTCCTGTCCTGTGCGAAGCGGCAGAGTCGTTGCTTGATAGGTTTAGCGTCTTCCTTAACATGTAAAGAGTGCTCAATCACCTATCTAGGAATACCGGGCATATCAGATGGTTTCTATGTGAAGATATCTTTATTATTTTGAGGAAAGGTGATGAGCGCGCTTTCCTATTTACAATCTAACTCAGCGCCTATCACAGCAGTCTTAGTGGGATCAGAGGGGTCTAGAGGAATTTTCTTGGTCTTGACATCGCCTTCTCCGCTCTTAGTCATCTTGGTCGCAGGCACTTCTCCTTCGGTTGATGTAGATGCAGCCAGTCAGACTTCCTCTCGGGCGAGTGTAATCTCGCGGGTCTGGGCCATCTCGCAGCTTTCCTTGTCACAAGTGACGGCTTGCTTGATGTTGCTCCGCATGGATATGACTCCTCGAGGACCTGGCATCTTCATCATCATGTAGCTATAGTGTGGGACAGCCATGAACTTGGCTAATGCCGGGCGCCCAAGAATAGCATGGTATGCTGTCTCGAAATCAGCGACTTCGAAGCAGATGTTCTCTGTGCGAAAGTTCTCCCGAGTGCCGAAAGTGACCGGCAGAGTGATCTGGCCGAGTGGAGTAGAAGATAGCCCGGGGATGACTCCGTGAAAGGGCGCATTACTCGGCTTTAATTCCGCACGAGGATTTGCATGTCGTCTAGGGTTTTGGTGAAAAGGATGTTGAGTGCGCTGCCACCATCGATGAGAGATCTTCGGAGCTTGACGTTGCAAACCACTGGGTCTAGTACCAGGGGGTACCGCCCCGGGTGGACCACTCGGTCAGGATGATCCGAGCGGTCAAACTTGATAGCTGTTTCTGACCACCGAAGATATTAAGGTGTGTCAGGTAGAACAGCATTAATCTCCTATTCAGTCAGCTTTTGCTTTCGCTTGGATTCGTAAGCTAGGGGTCCACCAAAGATATCATTGAGTTCCTTGCGAGAGTCTTGGAAACCAGTCGGGGCATCGTCTTCATCATCCTTCTTCTTCGACGTGCTTTGATCTCCGTCAGTCGGCTTGCGTGCGCTCTTGGTGTATTGCTCTGCGAACTGTTTGTAGACGAAGCAATCCTTGGCCACATGATTTGAATTTGGATGATGTGGACACTGAGAGTTCATGATCTTGTCGAAGGTATTGACTCGCGAATGCTGTCGGGAGGACGGTGTAGTAGTCGCCACAAGTTCCTCGGGCTTACGCTTGCGGTCCTTGTGATTGGTACTTCCACTCCCCCCTGCTGTCAGCGTGTCTTTCTTCGGCTTCCTAGTGGTGCCCGACTGTTTGGAGGCGGTGACGGCATCTTCAGCTTTTGTGTACTCATTGGCTTTTTCAAACATCTGCTTGACCGTCCTGGGAGGCTTGCGACCGAACTTGCCGACTAAGAGATCATGATGAATGCCTTTGGTGAAGGCGGCGATGATGACATCGTCGGTGATGTTGGAGATCTTGTTGCGTTGCTCGGAAAAACGTCGGATGTAATCTCGAAGAGATTCCCCGGACTTCTGAACAACGTTGTAGAGATCAAATTGGGTGCTAGGCGTTCAAAAGTACCCTGGAAGTTGGCGATGAAGTGGTCACGAAGCTCGGCCCAAGATCCGATTGTGCCACGGGGTAACCCGTGAAGCCAGGACCGGGCGGAGTCCGCTAGAGCCACGGGCAGATAGTTTGCCATGGCTTTGCTGTCTCCTCCTGCTGCATGGATAGCGAGATTGTAGACGGTGAGCCAAGATTCAAGGTTTGTGGTGCCGTCGTATTTCTCGATTCTAGTCGTCTTGAAGCCGGCTGGCCAATCCACTCGACGCAGATCGCTTGTGAAGGCAGCAACTCCATCTACGTCGTCATCGTAACGATCTAGTGAATGGTGGGGGATGTGACCTCTTGCCGCGTGGCGCTGGTTGATAGTTTCGCGAAGATCGACGGGACGCCTGCGATGTGGGGAGTGGGGACGTTCAGCCCGACGCTCCTTGTGTCGGTCAGGAGGCGAGTGAACAGATCTTTCGCCATGATCCCTGCTCCTGCGACTGGATCCCGCACCGGCGACGCTGAGGCTTGGTTGGTGGTAATCTTGAGGTTGAAGAGGCGGAACTCGGCCGCTAGTCGGCGTGCGGACGCTCGCGGAGTTAACCGGGACCGAAGCGGCGATCATGGTCTTGGTCTGGTTCAGGATGTTGACGACGTGATTGGTCTGATTGAGTGCATCTTCTTTGAGGAGGGTGTCAAGGAGGGTGATCGCTGCAACCGCGTTTTGCTGGGTGGTGCGGAAAACTGCGGTCCCCTCAACGTCCTGCTGCCCGATGAGTTCCCGTGCTCGTCGCTCGGCATCCAAGGCGCGCTGCCGCCGGTCCTCAGCCTCCTTCGCAGCCCGTTCGCGCTCCTGTTGCTCACGCTGCAGCCGTTCTCGCTCTTGTGCTTGGCGCTCCTCCTCCAGTCGGCGACGTTCGGCTTCTTGTCGCACACGTTGTTCTTCTGCTTCTCGGGCTTGACGTTGTTCTTCCATCTCGTTATCGGCCATGAAGATGCCGAAGTAGAGGGGCGTGTAGTTATCTTCATAGCTTTCGTCGAAGTCGTCGAGGCTGCGGTGGTCGTAGTGGTAGCCGAAGTCGTCGTATTCCCCAATCTCCGTTGGTCGAGAGTTGACGCCGAGGGAGCTGAGGTAGCCGTCCAATTGTTCCGTCGAAACCGTGCCGAGAGGCTAGATGATGACGCCAACTTCCCTGGAACCAGACTGGATCGGGGCCGAGGCCGGATCCCGCCTAGGCCTACGGGAAGAGGGCGTCCTTGCGGCGAACACAGCAGCCAAGTCGTTGGGAAGTTTCATCAGGATTGGGGGGTAATTTCCATCGTCTTGATCAGGTCGTGTTGGAGTAGATTGGATCTCGTCCGAGTGGTTTGGGGCCAACTCGGTTGAGATGATTTTGGGGTAGATCTCTGCTGCGTTCGGGATACCGAACAGGGCTGAGACCTAGCCTCTTCCTAACTGGTTCGAATCCGAGTCGAGGAGAGAGATTTTGCCGAAGTCGTTGGTGATAAAGTCGAGGCTGCCGAACCGGAACGCCTGTCCGGGAGGGAAGACAAAGTCGTCGATGCCGAAGACGAAACCCATGGCACTAGACGGCGAAAAAACTTGACGCTACCCCTACCTGATGCGCCAACTGTCGAAACAAGATTTCGGCAATACTAAAAGGGGGTGGCTATGAAGTTGGAAAAGTGGATGGGTTGAAAGACAAAGGATTTTATACAGGTTCAGGCCTTTTTAATAAGAAGTAATACCCTACTCCTGTCGGTTCAGGCCTTCTTAATACGAAGTAATACCCTACTCCTGTCCGGGGTTTGATCCGCCCAGTGTATTATTGATCGTATGATCTGAGAGAAAAATCGTCGCCCCAAGAGTCATCCGCACCCCTCCTTATATAGGGGAAGGGGTCCGTATTACAAAGTATAGACCATATCCCTAATGGAATAGGTAGTTACAGATAAGATACAATCGTAACCGACTAGAATCTCGGGTATTTCCTTGATACATAAGTTTGGAATTTAACCCGAATCCCTTTGAAGATATTCTATCTATACATGGTGCCCCATACTCAGTCGGATACACATGCCGTATGGGTATGGGGTATCCATAATCTCCACAATGCTCTAACAACCTTATCAGGTTAACAAACTACCGGCTTTCTCGTCTTGTGCATACAGAGATTACAGGAGATTGCATTATCTCTAACAAGGTGCTCCTCCTCTCGACGTCGTCCATGGTGCTGCAACACATCGTCCGGTTCGAGCTGCTGGAGATCGTGGCCGGCTTCGTCGAGAGCGAGATCATCATCTTGGAGAAGAAAACGACGACGACGACGACGGAGCAGCTGCAGCGTAAGTGGGAGGAGGTCCGGCGAGCCTGGCAGGTCTTGGGCGTCGTCGAGCTGGACGGCATGGAGAAGGAGGTGGACGCCATGGTGAGCAGCCTGAGCAGGGGACTGGCCTACGTCAGCTCGTGGGTGTCGAGCCACCAGATGCAGCGCGCCACCGCCATGGGCTCGCCGGAGAAGGTGGCGGCGGAGTTCATGACGCCGGCGATGGTGAGCATGGTGGAGGAGGCGCGGAGGCTGCTGCCGCCGACAGCGGCGAAGAAGAACCCCGGGTTCGGGTGCGACGATGATGTGCAGGACATGATCGGGCAGCGGCTGGAGCTGTGGTCGAAGGTGAGGCGGGAGGTGCCGCTGATGTACGAGGCGTCGGCGTCGGCGGAGGAGGAGGAGCAGCAGCAGGTGACCGCCGTGTTCCGGGAGGCGTCGCTGGAGGCCATCGACCGCGCCATGCACCGCGACGTGTACCTGGTACGTATTTGCATATGCTCCCTCCATTTCGGTGTTGACTTTTTAAAATATGTTTGACTGTTCGTTTAATTCAAAAAATTTAAGTAATTATTAATTCTTTTCCTATCATTTAATTTATTGTTAAATACATTTATATGTATATATATAGTTTTATATATTTCATAAAATTTTTTTAATAAGACGAACGGTTAAACATGTGCTAAAAAGTTAACGGTGTTAAATATTTAGAAACGGAGGGAGTATATATATACTGGTTATCATCAGCAACCAAGCAGGCAGCTTTGATCATCTGATGGATGGATATGGTGGATGCAGGCCGTGGTGCACGCGAGCAACCGGAAGCGATGCGACGGCCACCGCGATCCGGCGACGGGGAAGTAGCGGAATGAAGCAGTGCATTCACGTTGATCCTTGATTTTATCCTGTTTGTTTGCATTTGCTACTTGATTTGTTTTCTCCGCCGCTCACCTAATAATGAACCTCAACAATTCCGATCGACAGAAAGTATTCGGATCAGAAAGATTGAAAACAAACGATGTTTGGGCCCAACTAAGATGGGCCGCACATAAAACTTAGGGAAAAGTACACCGTAGGTCCCTCAACTTGTCATCGAGTTACAAAATCGTCCCCCAACCGCAAAACCAGATACCTGAGGTCCCTCAACTAACAAAACCGTTCGCTCGAGGTCCTCTAGCGGTTTTGAGCCCGGTTTTGTCTGACGTGGCGGGTGAGTCAGCGTGGGCCCCACATGGGCCCCGCCTATCAGTACGCCAGCTCATCTCTCTCCCCCTCTTCTCTCCTTCCTCATCTCTCTCTCGCTTCCCCCCTCTCTGCGAGGAGGTCCGGTGAGGACGACACAGGAGAAGGAGGCGGCAACGGCTGCGACTGCGACTTGAGAAAGGGAGAGGCGGTCGACGGCGAAGCGGGGTCGGTGCGGGCAGCGGACGGCGGGGAAGCAGCTGGCTAGCTGGGCGCAAGCGGCGGGCATAGGCGGCGGTGGGAGGAGCAGCGCGGGGCGGGCGGGGAGGAGCGGCGCATGGGCGGCGGTTCCTCGCACTCTCTGCCACCAGAGCCGCCAGCTTCTCCTGTGTGGGCGCTGACGTTGCCCGCCGCCGTCATCACCACGGCCGCAGGACACCGACACCGATGTGGAAGCGGTCCCCTTCGGCGATTGCGCCCGCTTCAGCTTCAATTCCAACCAGCGGAAGAGCCGCGGGTCGTGCCTCCGCGATGGCGCCTAGCTCGTCGGGAGGTCGAGGCAAGCCACCACCGCCAGACTCCCCAAGCTCCTGGGAGCTCACCGACAACGGTGACCGTCCCTCTTGCACGTTCCTTGGCGAGAAAATGGGGATGGCCGGTCAAGCTCGGTGACGACGCCGCCCGCGGCCGCGCGCACCGGCCTGCTTGCCCTCCTCCCCACAGCGTCGCCCGTTGCCGTCCTGAGAAAACAGATAGAGAGAGAGAAAGGGAGAAGAGGGGAAACGCTCACACACTCCCGCCGGCCACACTGTTGAGGGCGCTGGCGCGAGATCTGCGGCCATGGACGACGACAGCGGCGACGTCCTCGCTCTCCCCGTCCCGCTTCCTGTCGGTGCCATCTTCCTCTCTCGCTACGCGCCTGCCCGCTGCCCGTTTGCTCTGCCGGCCGGCCGCTCCCCGCGCTATCGCCCGGTCCTCCGGCAGGCCTGTGCGGCGGGTGCATCTGCCGCCGCTCCGCCCGTCGCTCCACCCGCCGCCAGCCGCGCGTCGCCGCCCGCCCGTAGCTCCTCCCCCGCCGCCGCCTCGTGGGCCTCGTGGGTGGCGGCCAGCGGGGGAGCCTGCACGCCGCTCCTCCCCCCGTCGCCCCTCCCCCGCTGCCCGCCCGCAGCTCCTCCCCCCACCGGCGCCGCGTCGCTTATCATCGCCGTCAGCATAGCCGCGTCGCCCGCGTCTCCATCGAATTGGAGAAAAGCGAGAGAGAGATGAGGAAGGAGAGAAGAGGGGAGAGAGATGAGCTGGCGTCCTGACAGATGGGGCCCACGCTGACTCACCCGCCACGTCGGACAAAACCGGGCTCAAAACCGCCAGAGGACCTCAAGCGAACGGTTTTGTTAGTTGAGGGACCTCTGGTATCTGGTTTTGCGGTTGTGGGACGATTTTGTAACTCAATGACAAGTTGAGGGACCTTCGGTGTACTTTTCCCTAAAACTTAATACCATCCCGGCCCAGCTAAGACGGGCCGCAAGTAAAACACGTTCTTGTTCCGACATAACTTGTATGGACCGCACGTAATAAAGAAATTAAGGGTGTCTGTTCAGGAGAAATGGTAAAACGAAGCACATATTAGCACATAATTAATTAAGAATTAGCTTAAAAACATTTAAAATGGATTAATATATATGATCTTTTGAAACAATTTTCCTAAAAAAATATTTTTTTAAAAAAAAACGCACCGTTTGGGAATCATACGTGTGAGGTGAATGAGAAAATAGACTAAAGAAAACAGCCTAAGTTCGCTTTAGATCTCTCATCTTTACGATTGAATTTGAATTACATCTTTAAAATGTAATACCAAATATAATGTGTCTTTCAACTTGCAATATTAGAGTATCCTAATTGCCAAAGCAGTACTATGCCTGGTTTCAACTGATGTGACGAGTTGACTATGGTCAACCCAACTAAGTCAACGCATGACCACATGTGAGCCCCACATGTCAGGGCTACAATTCCATTCCCATGCGTTGCACGACGCAAGGCATGCGATATAATCTTGACCTCTACACTTAGGACAACAATTAGGGTTTGGAAAAATAAACGGCAAAGAGATAAATAAAAAAGTAATAGATTGATTTTGTCGATTGGATTGGATATCTCAATTGGTTGTCACCCTTTATATTTGTAGGTGGGAGGTCTTACCCTATTTACAAGTCGAATCCATAATGAAATCGTGAAGAATACAAACTTTTCTTATGACCTACCAACACCAGAATATTTGGATTAGTAAACAGGAACATCCGGTTTCCTCGGGATGTGTGAATTTTGGATGCCAAAACAACATGGTACTCCCTCCGTCCTATTTTAAGTGTAGTTGCGGGTCTCCGTGTCCAACATTAACCATCCATCTTGTTTGAAAAATTTATGAAAAAAATTAAAAAATTAGTCACACATAAAGTACTATTGTTGTTTTATCATTTAATAACAACAAAAATATTAATCATAAAAAAAAATCAAATAAGACGAACGGTCAAATGTTGGACACAGAAATCCACAACTACAATTAAAATGAGACGAAGGGAGTATCACGCGACCAAGACTTAGATTGTCATTTGTATACTAAATTTATTTTTGTTCAAACATGGCTTAGCAAATCAATTTTATTTGTTGTTAATAGCTAATATCCTTCTTACTCCTAGCTCGGTTATTAAGAAAATGTATTAAAAATTACTTACTAATTCTCGCAGCAAAACGCAAGAATCACTTGGTATATATTTAGTGTTGTCTTCACCAAAAGCTTAACATGGTGATAAATGATTGACCAATTGAAAATCTATTATATACAAAAAGTCAATTAAACTTTGTTAAAACTCTCTTAAGCTTCCATGTGGAACTCTAATAAATTATAAAAAAAATCCTAGAAAGTATGTGAAAAAACAAAACTTATGTCCATTGATTTTCACCTAAATCAGTGGGTCCAATATTATAAACCATTAGATTAATCTCAAATAAGATAATCCGGTCCCACCTCTCCTCCTCCTCCTCTAGGTACTTAAATCCCACCTCTGCCATAGGTACACACTTATGCACACTTCCCTCTCCTTCCCTCTCTTTTCCATATAATAGTTGAGATAACAATTGTTTTTTATGACAATAAATTTTAAATAATCACAACTTTATATCATCATATAACTCTTTACAAATAGGTACAAACAAATTAGCTCTATAATGTATAAAAATAAAGTTTGCACCATAATATTTTTACGCATTAAATCAATAATGTAAGATAACACGCTATTCAAAAATAAATTTTACACCATTATTTTTTGTACCTACTAAATTAAATAATTGACATCTATATTGATAAATTTATACTTAAACCAGTGGACCATTATTTTAGACTATCTACTATTAAAACAAAAATCCTCTAAGGACATCTCTCTGGCCCTCCACAAAACACGCAAAGCGTGCTTCTTTGCCTTACACACGTCAGTGTCGTACCTGAGGTAGCTAAGATCACAATCACTGTAACACTTGTTGGTATTTATTACGGCTACAGATAAATCCGCAAGCACACGAAGTCCGAGCTGTCAAAATTCCTACCGAGCTGTCAGGAATCTGCATAACAAGCCACGTCCCTCATCCAATATTCCGAATCTGATTTGGGCCTTAAGCTTTGTAATTGTGTCGTGGGCTAAGCCTAAGGGGTTGTCCGCCCTAGGGCAACTCTAGGACGTCCGAAATCATATTTATTTAGAAATCGTCATAATTTAGAGTCAAATTTTGCTTAGATATTTCTGCCATTGCGGTTCCTCGCTAGTTCGGTTTGTGGAACCCCAACTTCAAGTGCTTAATCATTCATCTGCAAATTGAGTTGCAATCTACCTTATTCTTGCTTGTGTTCTTCGACTCACATGTAGGGATTAGCCCTCTCGGCAAGGTCAACCAGACAGTGCACGATTGATAATCGGATCGTGTTGATTGGAAGCCGGATCGTGTTTGTCAAGTTTCCACCAAATCGAGAGTTATCAATACCTATCGGAAGATCGTGACATAGTTCCTCATTAGTATTCCATTTTGTATTCTTCCATTTGCTTTTATACAGGATTTGATGATCGGATTTGGTACTTAAGTACCGTCAACAATGCTATTGCTTTCCCAAGTTGAAGATGTATCAAATCATTAAAAGATAACGGTTGGTTTTGTTAATAACACGAAAATAAATTGAAGGTGTGATGTTGATGAGAAAACACTGCGGCCTGAGAGATCTGCTTAACTCCAGTGCAGGTCCAAGACTAGCTTCGAGTGTGTCAAGCGCGTGCTAGCTGATTTGATCCTGCAGTCAGCAAGAAAGACAAAAGCAGAGTTAGTTAGCCGATAGCCGATCGGCCGATAGCGTATCATTGGTGGTCTCAGCCGATGGGGTTAGACCAAATCGGCTATGGATTGGATATATCAAAGAATAATAAACCCTAAATATGTCTCATCGGCTGTAACACTGTCTATCAAGATTGATAAAGAAGCTTAAGAAAATATTATTAAAATAGCCGATGTAACAGTATTTAGAGCAATAACGATAATGTACTAGCTAATACTCTAGTACAGATCTATATAGGCAAATCAACTATAGTAATATATCAAATAGAGGTCAATAGTCAATATTGATAGCCCAGCCGATATGACCTAGACTTGATATATTACTATTAGGTGATTTGTCTATATAAATGGCAAATATACATGAAACAGATAAAGAAGCATGTGTATTAGGTAAGATCGGCTGAAACCCCGATGCTACTCCAATTAGCAATCAAGAAGCATGCTTGAGATTATGGTTCTAAACACGACTTAGTAGGTCGAATGTACTGATGCAACACTAAGTATGAAAATAAACACAATATCTAGACAATCAAGCCGTTGACTAATTTTCAAGGTGGTAGATGTCTAAGCTAATCTAATTATCTAGCAAGACGATTTAGCTGATACCGGCAAAAACCCTATAGCGAGAAGCAGCTGATAAAGCTTAATTGAATTGCTAAGACTAGATTAACAGAGACATATAATAGCAATGATCATGATACAAGGACTAAGATATCTAAAACGGCATAATAGTCCCGATACCACAGGCCATCGAGACGGGTTATCTTTTGTGAAGCGAACTTGTCAAAAAGTAAAAACGAAAAGGGTGGCGATGCGCCGAAGTTGTATTGGATTATCTCCCGCATTACAATGCTAAGGGGCTCATATTTATACCCCGAATACAAACTTAGTCCATTATAGACACGACTCAAACCTTTCTAAAGATAGAATACAAACAAGACCATATACGTTGGTTTCTTACCAAATATCTAACAAACCGACTCAAATATCCTAATTAATAGATAAAATTGCCTCAAATGAGCTATATCGCTAATTGGTAATGACGGTTATTCCAATCTAGATCCAAGCCGAGCCCAAGTCATACCATATCGGCTGTATCGGCCATTGGCCTCATCAACCTTGATCAACTCACACTCTATGTCTAGCCGATATGTTGTCCAACCGATGCACAGTCCAACTTCGATTTCAACTCGATTCCACACCAAATCCACCTCGATCTTTCTATTTCTTCTCCGAGTCTCATGCAAAATTCCGTTGTTAACAGATGCGAAGAGAAAATAATCAAGCAGTTTGGGGGTTGAGTTTTTCCAACATTTATCTCCGTACTTTGGTTAAAGAGTTGATTGCATAACTATAGTGTAGGTCGTTTGGATTTGGTACTATAGTGGTAGGTCGTATTTACTTTGAGAGAATCCCTTATATGCCACTGAAAATTGGTCGGATTTCTTATATGCCACTGAAAATTGACTCTTCCCTTAAAAGCCATTGGTTCAAATTCACGCACCCTCTCATATCACTTCCGTCAATTGACTGTGGGTTGACCGTTAACTCTAAAGTAAAAAAAGGCGTATTTACCCTTCTGAGTATAGGACATGTAACAAATCAAAAGGGCAAATACGTCTTTTTTACTTTATGGTTAACGGTCAATACATAGTCAACTAACGGTAGTGGTATAAGAGGGTGCACAAATTTAGACCAATAGCATATAGAGGAAGAGCCAAATTTTGGTGGCATATAAGGGATCAGACCAATTTTTAGTGGCATATAAGAGATTCTCTCTTACTTTAATTGGAGCTATGTAAGTGTCACGTAGGTGTTATATGAGATGAAAACCAGTCAACAAACCATATAGGTGCCACATAAGTCGAAACCACCGTAATACTATGTATGAATTCAGTTTTTTGCGTTGGTTTTAGAAATTAGGATGCTCATACCGGTTTAGCGGTCGATGAACGCAAATAACTTAACCTATAATTGAGGGATGTTTGGTGGAAACAGAAGTCTGAAACATATTTCAAGTAACATATGTGCAGTCTGAAGTTGTAGAATACAGATCCAAATAAGGTTATGTATATGCAATCATATTAATAAATATCATAGCCAAGCAAATGCAATCACAGTGTCCCTACCACTTTCTTTCTTACAATAAGGAGGCCAAAATAATCATCTCCATTGCAATGTCATTAGTAACCAGGACCTTGGCTCCTGACTGTTGTTTCCTCTAAAGTTTTGTTTGTCCCCATATTACCTCAGCTCTTGTTGCTATGATCCCAAAAGGAAATAATTTATGACATAAAATTTGGTAGATTTACTTGAGGCAATAACAGCGCTAAGTTATTAGACATACAAAGATTTCCTTGTACAATACCAAGAAAAAGAAATGCACAAATTTTCATGACACTCATCTATTTCAGCATAATAAAGTGCTATCTGAAGCATCAACTTGCATATGATTCTATATATCTTATTATTTTTATCACATTATAATTATAGCCCTTAGTTTAGCAATCAGATTGTTAGATGATTTTAGTTTGACAAAAAAAATGTTAATAACAGATCGTTTTTATGTAATGACACAATCTATAATTGTAACTCTTATGTTAAAAGCAGAGAGGTCAAATTTAAATCAAAATGCTTACATGCTCCCTATATATTTGTTTATATGCATTCACACATACTTTTCCCACCGATGACCCAGGTCACAGGGCAAATGTTACAGCATTGAAACTTAGTGTTCCTTTGTAATAGCTAAGAAAAGCTAAAGCATAATAGAACCTGTGGTGATAGCTGAGGAGCTTCATTTGTCTAGGTATGCATCCCTGCAGTGACTCCAATTTCTGAACAGCATGAACCAACAGCCTGCCTGGCTTTTCTATTTCAGGGATAAATCACAATGTGACTAAAATAACAAACTATATTAATGTATTGTTGAAAATGAAAAACTATAAATACATTACAATTTGATAGGATGCTATCTTTTTTTTACAGTCCCCTTAAATGAAATCTGTCCACTCAAAAGCTGAAAATAGAAAAGAGGCTTAAGCACTTCATTGATCACCTTTTAGTCTAAATTTACTTCAGATTTTAGTCTTCTAGGTTTTGAGGCATAATTATGTAACTATATCATTACAAAAATGAATAGATAAGTACTGTTGTTTCCAATTTAGCAGTTTAGGACATACATGTGTTGAACTTCTACCCACATGAACACCGTGAGAGGTAGAAGTACAGATACTCACCAGTCACCACAGACTTTCTATAATGGTGTAGTTCCAGGGACCTCTTGTCTTTCCATTGGCAATCGTCCTTGGAGAAGGATAAGAAGAGGCACTGCAGAGGAGGTCCTGGGGAGTCAGAGGCGTTCAAGTGGAGATGCGGGAGATGAGGAGGCAGCGATCCCCAAGTGACATTCCGCGTGGGTTGCCATTGGATCAAGCCATACCTCCCGCCATTGCCGAATCGAGCCCAAATAGGAGGAGGTGTTTGTGTTGGTATTGGGGATGAGGAGGAAGAGGAGGGGGTGTGGGCGTGTGGCTAGGGGCAGGCGGAGGTGGAAGCAGAGAAAGGGAAGGATGGCGAGCAGGAAGAGGCGACGGAGTGGGAGGAGCAGGCGGCGGTGACGGTTTGGAGTGGTGGTGGCGGGGACTGGAGGAGAGGAGAGGAGAGGAGGAGATGGAGGCTGTGGTGGCGCTAGGATGGGGAGAGGCAGCGATGGCAGGAGCAGATGGCAGTGGCGGCGGAAGGAGAGGAGGCGGAGGCGGAGGCGACGACGAACGGAAGGGAAGAGGGGGAAAATGAAAATACGCAGACTTGAGTGGGAGGACTGGAAGTTGAGAGAAGTTTCTCGAAGGGCTATTTTTGAAAATGTTGCTGATCTAATCCGACGATGTTCGCTTATCGGAATGCTGCATCGAACGGTCATAGCTTTCTCTATGACGTGGCCCAATGAGAGGCCGAGAAAGATTACTTCTTTCATTACTTTAGACTAGCCATTTGGTCGTGCGTTGCATGACTTTAGATACCTGTAGAAAAGCTCTATATTTATGGGTCATTATATATCATATTATGAAATTGTCCCTTCCCTCAATTAGGGGTATCCAATTTTTCCTGTATTTTCATGTCTCGCATCTTTAGAAGCCTGCTCCTAGTTCGCATAAAAAGATGACCCTGAAATTGACTTCAACAGATGTTTTGAGAATTTTGCTTCAGGCTCCATCTTGTTCCATGCTTGCCACAGCGCTATTGTTAAATCTGCATCTCATAACCGGATAAGAGTACAATCTGATCCATGCATCTCAAAATTAATGGGACACCTTCTGGTTTCTATGAAATCACAACCTGGAACATGACAGATTCAAAGGGCTTGGCATTCATCACAACCGCAACATAGGAGCAAACCTTTTGGTTCCTTTCGCCGTTTCTATAGGCGAGCTGGCTGGGTAAAGGAAGCCCAGTATACATATAAGCCCCGTAAACGTAGACCATAATATGATAATAGGATTAACTCTAAATTTATTTTTCTTAAAAAAACATAGGACTTGGTAAATAGTTAGTTAGAACTAACCTATATTTGCAAGTAAGGTTCAAGTACCATGTTGAAGATATTTTGGTTTCCAAAGTTCAGTCATCTCATCCAGTGGCTAGTACATGCTTATTCCACAATATTTTCTCATAAAATACACAATAATTTAATTATGACATTGAAAGGGACTGGACAAACAATTAGTAAATTCTGAATCTACGTGAAATCAACCATTAGTTTCTCGTGAAATTTATAATGGCACCATTAGACCATTGGGCCAACAAAATATTAAATCTAAAGTAAGTTGACTAATAATAATAATTATCATGCTTGCACAAGACGCAACCTAAATGTAGGTAGAATTTCACTTCCAGGTTGTTACATAGTATGCTACTATACTAAGCATTATAAGTTTGAAGTTGATAAGCAATCCACATGGTTGAACACATATCAGAAAGTTAGAATCAGCGTCTCTGAAGTTCTGAGATTATTTGTACATTTTGGTACCGAGAAAAATATTTCCTGGTTTGGATGGTGCCAGCTTCCTTGTTGGTAGGATCTCTGCAAGTTCCAAAACTCTCAAATTTTAACAGAAGAGATACTTTTACGGTTTTACCTTTGGGGAGATAATTGCACCTGTTGCATCTGTACCATCATTTGGGGGTGTTTCTATCATAGGATTCAAAGTATATATTTGGGGGGGAAGTGAAGCCAAAACGTTCAGTATGAAATGGTTAGTATCTAACCTGTGAAAAAGATGATCCCAATACCATTTATTTGGAGACGTATGTTCAGATGTCATCTGCTAAACCAGTGGAATCATAGCTAAAAAACAAAAGGTTGAGTAGATACATTCCAATTTGGTTAAATGGGTATATACAACATTCCAATTTGATTAAATGGGTATATACACAAAAGTTTGGGTGGTTTCTAGAAACTTCGAAAATTATCTTTGGAGGCACAATTGAAATGCTTTCTTAATAGAATTTGTGCGAAGAAAATAAAAAGGACTTGATTTGATGACACAGTCAACAACAATAAATTTCTTGTTCTATCAAACAATATTATTCCTCAACAACTGCTATCCAGTTTTTACCATTCAAGAAGTACTAATGTTCATGATTCATACCCTAGATGCATGGTAGCAAGTTGAATAAAAAATGAAACCACAAATTTTGAAAGGACATTTATTTCATAACTGTCACTTTGGGTAAAGACAAATAACGCAAATCAATATTACAGTCATTTCAATTCCTGCTTTAAAACTCATAACATCAAGAAAAAGAAATACCTGATAATACAATATTTGATTGCTTTATTATTTGCTTCATAAATCATCAGAATCCATTCTTAATCAGTGAATACACCCTTCACAGCAAACCGGAAGCTAAATGGGTACTTAGAGTCAAATACATTTGATCTTTAGTGGGCAAATTTCATTTAAGCTTAAGCAAATCACCTTGTAGAATTATCTTTTATAGGTTTCCACTCCCCTGCTTGCTGCAGCTTTGCTCGTTAGACACACATATATAGATACACAAATATAGCAATACACCAGTCATTTATATAATGTTAGGAGCAACCTTTTTTTTTTTTCTAAACACATGAATAGCTAGTAGTGTTGGGGATGGGGATGAGGAGGAATAGGGCAGGGGGAGGTGGAAGCGGAGAAAGGGGGAGGTATGGATTCCTTTGCTTCCAACCGCAGGCGTCTTCGACCGGCCAGTCCCCGTACATCTATCCTCGTCCTTCTCGATGCCGGTGGCTCTTCTTCTTACCTCTCCCCATTGATGTGGTGGAGATTGGGAGGAGACATGGCGGCATTGGAGATGGGGGGAGGACGATTCACATCAGCGGGGAGGATGGGAGCGGAGGAAGCGGTGATGGGATTGGGGAGGAGGAGGCGAGCCGAGTGGCAGCAGCGGAAGCGCGGAGCACACAATCCGGCGCAGTGACCAGGGAAGGGGAGGCGGCCTCCCGAGATGGTGTAGCAGGGGTGAAAATGAAAAATGGTAAGACTAGGGAGGTGGAAGGATCTTATTGCGAAAGAATTTTTACAAAGGATCTAGAATAGATTTTGCCAATCAATGAATCCAACAGCTCACATCATCTGTAGGGGCAATCGGATGGCTTATGTTTTTTTTATGACGTGGCGCAATCTGGTAGTGAAAAACTTTACTTTTTTCACTACTTTAGATATATTGAAACATATATATGCATAGTATATATAAACATGCAGCAAACAGGGGCATGCAAATAAAAAAACAAAACAGATCTTTAGTCCCGGGTATTTGAACCCCGGTTTGCTACTCAGGACTATAAGGGGTTGCAAACCGGGACTACAAACCATTTTTCCAACAGTGTGTACTCCCTCCATTCCTCCGTTCCAAGATATAAGACATAACCATCCTTAACCCAAAGACTAAGAAATAATTATTATCATCTCATTCTTTGAATCATCCAAACCAATACAATGCATGCACCCAATGGAATTAGATATTTTACGAGTGAAAAAGCTATAATAATAATAATTTAGTGGAGAAAAGATTCTAATTAATTGCATGCATGAATGCACGCTTTATATTATCAAACATCTAAGAAAAATAGTTATGCATTATATTATGGAATAGAGGGAGTACTTTTCTCTCTGTTTTTTTTCTTTTTCACCGGTTTATAATGCATATTAAAGAGTTTCGGTAATTAGGTAGAGAATGCTACAGAGATTTTAAGCTCCAATATTATTATTATTATTTCATGTGATAAATTGTTTATCTACTCGGCACTAGCCGGTTAAATTCTATATTTTCACGTGAGAGGTAACCTCACCCAACCAAATGAGGAGGTAACTGCACTCAAATTCATATATATCACCAGTCAAACAAAATCTCTTTCATTTTATATCTATCATGCAAGCAACCAAACAAACTAACAAACTCTCATGCTAGCCAAGTTAAACCGATGCAATCAACCAAACAACTACATGTGTATGCCCTTAACTAGGTCAAACTCAGTCTCGACGAGAGAGATGAGCTAGGCTAGAGAGACGTGAGCAACCAAATACACTCATAGTGAACTTACTAAGTGAAACCCTGTGAGTTATTGCGAGAGTTTAGTATGATAGCAATAAGCAAAAATAATGTGTAAAATAATTAGACGACATAAACTTACATAAGTTGAGATAGTATGTGATAATTTAAATAGTATAAAAGTAATGTGATGTGGCTTTATGAGAGAAAAAAAAGGAGGTAGGTAATTTAGACCATAGATTAATTATCTAAGGTTAAAAACAATTGAGATGATATGGCCTAATAAGACAAAAAATAGCATTAACTATATAGGTATATAGGATATTACAAAAAATGATGGAAAAATATATTTGAATATCATGTGAATTATGTGGGATGATGATTTAACATGCTTGTATTTTTAAAGCTCTAAAATTTAATGAATTATAGAATTATAGATAATATAGCATGCTTGTATGATGTTTAAGATGTAATAATTGTTAGTGAATGATGATCTGCCATCTTTGTATATTAAGTTTTAGTATTCATTAGGTTGTAACTTTTTATAGTGAGATATGATTCGTTTTTCTTTTTGTTTTTTGTCTGCAGGGGTTTTAGCCCAGATGGACTTGGCAGGCCTTCTATTGGGCGGGGCCCAGAGCCCAGATCGACTCTTTCTTCTCCTCGAGTCTGTCGATCTCCCTGCTTTTCCCAGTACAAACTGCAACTGTTTTATACTAGTTCGCACTTGGCAGGTGGCAGCAGCAATCCTCTCTTGCTAGCCATCTCTTGCAACCGGCACTTCCCCCCTGCGAGTCCACGAGATCTGCTATCGCATCATCAGGTGCGCAAGTAAGCATCCATCCTTTTCCTCTAATTAATCAGGGTCCCTACATTAAGATCCCCAATCCCCAATCTTGTTCGTCAGGGATTTTTTTTTTTTTTGGCGTCTCACACTCGCTTGGGCGTTTTTCTCGCATTTTGATCATAGTGTATTGCTTCCGTTTGGTGGATTTCTTGCTGCTCTAAACCTCAATTTGTTAAAATCATACTCTTCATGTTTACCACCCGTTTGCTGTCGCTCTAAGTTAGGAGCCATCGCGCCCTGCTCGCCGGCAGTGATGGAGTAAGAACGAATTTATTTAATTCATGGGATTTGGGACAAATTTCTTTGGGAACTATGATTTCAGACGATAAATTTCACACCATATGGATCCGGGGGGATAGTTTTCAGACAAGATTCAGGTTAGGTTATCAGGTCCACGGGTGCCTTTCGAACAGGCTTCAGATTTCAGTTAAGTAAAATGGAGATTTACGGTGTCTCAAGATTTGCTTTACTAATGCGCGCAAAAGTTCAGCTTGTTTTTGTGATCCGGATATTTTGTTTCGACTACTACATATGTGGATGAGTACTTTTCAACATTTTCCTGTTCCACTGCATATTTCAATGACAATTTTTTGTTTGTTACTTGTTTGGTGCAGAGCAGACTAACTAGCAGCCACACTGAGAAAGAGTGCACAAGATGTCTGAAGCGATAGCCCTTGCGATGTCAAAGATTGAAACCTGTGTAGAGACTGGAGCTTCATTCAACAACGCAATGTCCAAGCTATCTAAAAAGGATAAGGTTGTGAAGGAATTGCTGGAAAAGATCAAACAAATACAGGAGCAATTGGATATCACCAATGATTTCATCCAAAATCACATAGGCACAGCCAACCTTGGTGACCCATTAGATGAGAGTTGGATTGCCACAGTGAGGAGGCTGGCCTTCATTGTTGAGGATGTAATGGAGAAGTACTTGTATTATGCTCATCAACTGCAGGAAGAGGGGTCACAGAAGCACCCTGTCAAAAGGTCAAGCTATGTCGATGTTTTCAAAAAAGTTGGTCAGTTGATGGACAAGATAAATAATCGCATTGGGCACCTTTTAAGCATCAGAGAGCAGAGTAAGCTTGCACCGCAGCTTGTTCCTCACTCACCATACCCCGATTCAGAGGGCCAACCGGAGCTCATTGGTACCAATGGCCCAATTAATGTACTACTGAAATTTCTGAAGCATGGTGAGGACGGAGCTGTGCTGCAACTCAAGGTTCTATCTATGCTTGGAATTGGTGGAATTGGTAAAACCGCACTTGCATCCAAGGTGTATCGAATGCTTCGAGAAGAATTTCAGAGCCATGCTTTTGTGACAGTGTCCAAGATGCCTGATATGACAAGGGTCTTATTTGATATATTGGACCAAATTGGCCTGCGGAAGTATCCAGCTAGTTTGAACGAGAATCAAGTCATTACTCAAATTGGACAAGACCTAAAGGATAAGAGGTATAAACATTTATTAAAATTAATATCATTTGATAATTTGGCCTGTCCTTTTTCTCACAAGACCTGCCTGAAAATTACTGCATGCCTTGTATTTGTTTATGTTTTCTGTTCAACCTTATTATTTCTTATGAAATTGATTATATGAGATTTCGCATGATAAAAATGAGGTTATATAACAACCAATATGCATCTTTAGTTGCTAATTAGTTTTATTATTTTCCTGGGCCAGCGGAAGCTGGCCAAAGTATATTAAGATAGGAAGGGTGTTAGTTCGATCATTACAACAAACAACTCAGCCAGGAAAGCTGGCACAACCTCTAGCATGGCTCACCTTACAGATTATACCCGCTAAGCCAGCCTATTAAGATTATCTCCGGACAAGGTGAGTAGTCCTGTGGCCTGCCAAGTGCCGCATTCATCTACAATGGCGGCGTAGAGCTCTTGCATGGAGACCACCAACCAACTTATGGGAATAACACCACCATTATTGAAAATCAAGCGTTGGTGGAGAAGAGTGGCCAATTAGTTCAATAACAAGAAAGCTATCAACTGGCATCCCGCCCCACCACATGCCTGAAAGAAAAAAAAAGGATCCCCACACGGTATCGAAGAAGGAGGCGAGATGCAGAGCGAATGGCATCAACGTCGACGCTGGAGCCCCCGTTGCAGTCGTACGGCCGTCGAGCCTCCATGCGGTCGTGTGCCGCCTCCTCCGCCTCTCCCTCCCCCTCCCCCTCCTCCACAGCCTCATCTAATGCTGCCCCGACACTGATGATGAGGGAGAGGACTTGTTGCTTCTGGTTGGCCCCACCTGCAGTAGCGACAGCATGGAAGCTTAGGTTAGGAGGTCGGCGGAGGCATAGAGATGTTGTCTTCCATCCATAGGTTAATCGACCTGACCACAAAACATCTTTTCTCTTTCTTGTTCTTGGCTTTCTTGAAGGAGGAGGAAGGGGATAAATTTAGGGAGGAATTGTTTGGTGGTGAAGAGAAGAAGATGAATTGGTGAGTTGAAGTAGGAGAGAGAGAGAGGGAGAGGCAAGGTATAGTATGATACCTAAGAACCAGCCTGATAACGTCGGTATCAGGCCTGATACCACCGGATATTGGGTGATACCTATGTGGTATCATCTGATACTGCGCAAATATCAACTGATGCCTCATAGGTATAACCTGATACCGACAAGTATTAGAATGTGATATCTACCTGGTATCATCCTGTCCAGACGGGATCCCATGATATAGCAGCCCCATTCAATAATTCATACAAGTCCAGAGGTCTCAAAGGCCCATTTGTGCACCGTACTCTAATTGGTCTATGTACTTATAGAATACGAAGACTGTAGGGCAACCTGGGAGGAACTAAGGCTATAGGATACCAAGGAGAAATAAAGACCTTAGGAGTTAGGACATCTTGGTGGAACCAAGTATCGATGTAACTAAGAATAATAAACACCCATATCTGAGTCAAACTGGATAACTTGAGTAATGGATTGGTGGGGTTTTACACCCACCCCACACCTTTCATAATTTCCTAGGCACTATTCCTCCTATATTTGATCACATATTCATAATTAACAAAACTTCAAGAAAAAAGTTCTAGTGATGATCCCTGAATTTGTATTTAGTGATGGCTTGTTTCCTAAAAGTGAGAATTAACTAGTGGTTTCTCTATTGTTTTTGTAGTTTGTCACTTAGGGTTATTTGTGCTTCTAAATACTCCCTCCATCCATAAAAGTTAGACATATTGCACATTTGAGTTTTTCCAAATAAGTTGTTCCTATTTGTAGTCTTTATGCATTTAAGACTTAAATGAAGAGATAAATTAAATGTTTGTTGAGAACCCAAGGAGTCATCTAAATACTCATTGGTTGCATGCTTGCATTCACTCCTTGATTTTGTAACATCCAAGATGATTTAATTTCTCCTTGCTCTTGATGACAAAAGTAATATGTGTAACTTTTGTGGATGGAGGGAGTACCTTTTGTCCAAATTGTATGCTAATGCTTTCTGCTCTTGCTGACTGGCTGTGTCAACTTCTACCAAGCTTCCTTCTTACTTCTTGTGCTAAGTTTAATACAGTTGTTCCTCTTTTGGGGTGGTATTGACAGCTATCTCATTGTAATTGATGATTTATGGGATATGCAACATTGGAAGACTATCAAGGATGCCTTGCCTGATGTCAATTGTGGTAGCAGATTGATAGTTATAACTCGTCTAAACAACATAGCCAAAACATGTAGCTCTGGCCAGAATAATTTGACGTATAAGGTCATGCCTCTTGCTCACCATGACTCCAGAACATTGTTTCTCAAGGAAATTTTGGGCCATGAGGGCAGTTGCTTGGATGCACCAGTTTTTGATGAAATTTTGAAAATGTTTGGTGGTATGCCTTCAGCACTAAAATGTATTGGCTCATTTCTGCGCAACAAATCAGTCACAACTGAGTCTCAGAAGATCAATATGAGTTCTTTGTATTCTGAACTTGAGAATTTTCCTAGCTGGAAGAAATTGAAAATTGCTCTTTTCCTCAGTTGCTGTGGTCCTTCCCAAACTCTGGAGGCTTGCTCGTTGTACTTAAGTACATTACCAGACAATCATAAGATCGAGAGAGATATTTTGACTAGGAAATGGATTTCTGAAGGAATTATCCTTAAAGATGATGAGCTTAGTATTAACGGAGTGGTGAATAATTGCTTTGAGGAACTAATCAATAGGAATGTGATTCAGCAAGTGGACAATAGTTTTGGGGAGTAAACCTATGAAATCCAATTTCTGATGCACCACATTCTTAGGCAGATAGCACGAGAAAGGAATTTTGCTACCTTCCTATCGGAAAATATTTTGATATCATGCAAGGAGCCTATCCATCGCCTCTCATTTCACTGTTCTAAGTTAAGAATTTCGATTGATAAAGGTGATATTCAGATTATTTCGGATTCAGGAGATTCAAATCAAAAACCTAAGAGTCTATCGCTTGCTCGCTCCATAACTCTATGTGGTTATGCAAAGCCAGTTTCTTTTAAGCTTTTGGAGCACCTGCACGTGTTAGATCTGGAAGGTTGCTGGAATGTGGACAACTCTACTTTGGATGATATATGCCGCATGATCCTGCTGCAGTACTTAAGTCTCAAGAAAACACGAATAACTGTGCTACCTCCACAGATTGAGAATCTAAGATGTCTCAAGACACTGGCTGTAACCCAAACTGGAATCGCAGAACTCCCACTGCAAATTGGGAAGTTGCCTGATTTGGAGACTCTGGATGTAAGGCATACACAGGTCAAAGAGATACCGAAGGAACTTGTTCAACTTCCTAAATTGGTGTGTTTGCTTTTTGGTCAAAGTGGTTTTCACGGTGGAGTTAAGTTCCCTGTGGGAGGTAATCCTTCAAAGTCACTAAAGGTGCTGGGTTCCATCGATTCAACACAATGCTCAGCAAGTTTCATGGGGGAGCTTAGTAGTTTGACAGGGCTGACGAAGCTTTCAGTAGTGTGCTATGACGGGACCAAGGACATGGAGTGGAATCTTCGTATGATGAATTCTATGTTCAAATTTAGCAATCTTGAATCCCTGACAATTTATGGTGATTTCATTTTGGGCAACGAAGTTCCTGCACTCCAGAATCCTCCTAAACTTCAGAAGTTGAAGTTGGCCGGAAGATGTTTGAGTGTTCCTGGTTGGATTGATAAATTCAGCGATGTTACCCTTCTAGATATCAGGGTTTGCAGCCTAGAAGAGAGTGATATGAAGATACTTTGCAAGATGAGCTCCCTGCAGAGACTTGTGTTAACACAGGTTCACATGCCAATAAAACAACTAGAAATCACAAAGGAAGCAAGTTTCAGCAAACTAAATGGTTTCACATTTGATTGCCGTGTGCCTTGGGTAACCTTTAAAGAAGAAGCTATGCCAAGTCTGCAATACCTCGAACTGAAGCTTTATGCTGGCCCAGCGGGTAAAATTCCTTCAGGTATTACATGCCTACCATGTCTCACAAAGGTTATCCTCCGGTACTTGGTACATTACCAAAGCAGTGCTAGTGTACAGGATACAATTTCTAAAATGAGAAAAGAAAGCAGTGAGCATCCCAATATGATCGTGCTTTCTCAAAATGGTGAGCATGAGATTTTCCCACAAAATGCTGTTTCTCGAAATGGCGAACTCGAGATTGTCCCGGTCAATGCTGTTGATGGCATGCATCAGGATTAGCACAGGCAAAAATTGAAGAACAATATTGTCATTGTTAACGCCCTATCTGACTGCATTCTACTGCCGTTGTTCTCTGGTATGAAAAAGTTGTCTATATTAATTGTAACTATATGTAATAATGGTTTCTAATGTGCATATATATTAATTCTATTTGTATTGCCTGTAGCAGGTGGGTTATAAGGACTGGTATATTAACTTGCATCGTACAAACGGCAAATTAATCCTCATTCTCGTGCCAGACATAGTTGTGGAGCAGACGGGCAAATCAGATCCTATTGGAATTACAATCCTTCTATGACTCAAGCCAACCAAATCAATCAAGATAGAAGCCAAATTAAGTTGAAAAATATTTGCTAGGGATTGCAATTCGCAGCAGTGAGGAGCGCAAGTAACAATCAGGTAGTACTTTGATAATTTGGTTTCTCTAAAGTTCCGCATGTATTAGTATGTATTGAATTGGAATTAATGTGTCCCTGTTCACATTGATATCTAATATATCACGATTTCTCAATGATTGAATCACAATAAATTATATATATCTTTTGTTCGAAGATCCCTCAACCTTTGTGTTTTCCCGATATTTTCTTGTAGTTATTGATTTTTTTTTGGTTTTAAGTGTTTTTATTCTCTGTTGAAATTCTGTATGCTCGACCATGTCGTTATTATTCCTAGTTGGTAAAAACAGTGGACTTAACAAGAGTGCGAAAAAGTTCATATACAGATTATTGGTAAGTGGTAACGGGTGAAAGGAAATGATGTCAGTGCAGTGGAAAACAAAAATGTGGAGTCCTTCAATTGAAATTTATATTACTTATTGCAAAAACTCTGCCGATCGAGTTTGTCACTAAAATTGATTGCTTATAAAACACAGTACGATCTTGCTGGCAATAAATATTGGGCCAAGCGCTCCATCCTCCATTTACTCGTGTATATACTTACCCCTATAAACATACGTATATATATGTATATAAAACACATCTATGAGATGGCCCGAATATAAAAAACGAAACAAAAAAAAAACATATTGGTTACTTCCAACTGACAACGTACTCGCTACCGACCGAATTTTATCTCCCAAAAATTAAAATCTAAAAGTTATTTTTTATCCACCCAAGAAAAATCTGAATTCAACTTACGTCTATATTTTCGACCTCCTAAAAGGTGAAAGCATAGGAAAATATAATCAAGACCTATATCATAATTAAATTATAGAAATTAATTATGTAGTTACTCCTTAAATTTCACCACACAGTTAGATACATAAAATATATTCAAATAAGACTTGAAGAAAAAGTCATAATATCAAATCCTAATGGCAATAAAATTTTTGAAAACTTTAAATAAGGCGTACGAGTTCCATGGCTACGAACCAATTTGACCTTGAGAGAGATATCCACAAGTGAACATGAGGCTAGCGGTACTAACAATGTTTATGAAGGTTGAGGAAAGCGACGCCAGGTGGAATTGAGGGAGGCGGTGACGAGGTTAGTGGTGGCGGTGACACGTGTATATATATATACACACTCCGATTTTCTACAAGTATGGGGAGCACTGTTCTGCTCCCTAATTTGATTTTTTTTATTCTTCTTTTGTTTTGCTATATAAAAGATGGTGTTACATACTAATTGTTTATTGTAGTCTCTATTATTGTACTAGCAAAATGACCATACTTTGCTTTGCCCACATACTTATTAAATATATGTTATTTACTTGACTCAAAAAATATTAAAATATTACTCCATCTGTTTTATACTATAAGTCATTTTGAAATTTTTTCTAGTCAAACATGAAAATTTTCAAGTTTATAGAAAAATATAGCAATATTTTTAATACAAAACAAACAAAATATATTCAATGTTACGTACTGTCGATGTCGATGTTTGATGTCGCGATTCCGGTATTTGCATAGTATGAGGATCGTTGGTACTAGGATATATGCGAGATTGAGATAAAAGAGATGGGGACGAGGATTTTTATACAGGTTCGGGCCTCTGAATTATCAGGTAATAACCTACTCCTGTTGGCCGAAATCGGTCGTTGCTCTTATTCACCATAATCACACCAGTACAATATTTGGGGTAGCCTATCTATCTGTTGTCGACTTAGCGGTCTGAAGTGCTAACTCGTAGTCGACAACAGGGTAGCCTTCCTCCTCGAATCTGCATCCGGCAAGATCAAAAACAGCGTTATGTCTCTCTTGACAGTATCCGTAGACACCGTAGGGGACTAGCCATGCTTATCTCTGAAGTCGATATCCGGCGTCTTGTCTTGACATATGTTGGCTTGTATGTTGATCTTGTGTCTTGATCTATTGTTCCGTGTCCCCTCTCCTCCTAGGGGGCCTTGTATTTATACCCATAGGTGTCCCCTTCAAGTAAAACTAGGGAAACCAATATGGATATAATCTGAGTAGTCCTTGTCGTTTCCATGTAGAACTCTATTCATCCTTCTTTATACGGAAGTACTCCTATATCCGAAGGTTGTTTCCGTATAAGACATAGTATGTGGTAGGTCCTGCCGAGATTTAGTCAACTATTATTAGATATGTGGTATCCATAACCCTGACACGTACAATGAAATTAATTTGGCATTTTAGACGTTGCTAAATTTTTCCATAAATTTTGTCAAACCTAAAGAAGTTTGACTAGAAAAAAAAGTCAAAATGATTTATACTATGAAATTAAGGGAGTATATAATATAAAAATGTCAGGAACTAAATTGTAAAACGTGTAAAAGTAGTGGTAGTGGCATAACCAATACCACCGCAAATATCTTTGACAGTACTCTCCGTTCTTATTATAATAAGATGCTTCAATTTTTCTGAGAAACCTTTTTGAAAGTTTGATCAAGTTTATAAAAAAAATATGGTAACACTTGTAGCACTAAATTAGTTTCATTACATTTAACATAGAACATTTTTTTAAGAAATATAGTACAAACACAAGCGTTCACAACGCGCATACACTTATCGCTATGAACGCACATACGTACACCCTACTCCTATGCGCATATCCGGAAAGATTGTGCCGATATATCTTGAGATTGACGAAGTCATCACGGGTGCCTCAGTATCGACGGGTACGTTGCCTACCCCTATGAGCACCTCCGAAAGACTGGGTCGGCATATCTTGAAATTGATGAAGTCACCACGGGTGTATCGGTATCGATGGGTACGTCACCTACCACTAAAAGAAAAATTAGCCGTAAATGGTTCCACCACAAGGAACCTAACCAGTTGAGCTACGCGCTCACTTCGCAACATAGAACATATTTTGCTTGTTTTGTGTTTAAAATATTGCTATATTTTTCTATAAACTTGGTCAAACATAAATAATTTTGATTTAGAAAACAATACAAAACGACTTATAATATGAAACGGAGGTAGTGATAATATAGAAAAATTGAAGTTGCTTCCATTTGTCATTCATTATCGTATGTCATCTAGGTGGTGTTCTTTTCTCCTGAAGATGAAGATACGATGAAGATGAAGATTAAGTTTTTTATGCAAAACGAGGTGGTATTAACGTATGATTGATTGAGTTTTAATTATTAGAAACTTGAAAAATAGATTAATATGATATTTTTAGAGCAACTTTCATATAGAAAGTTTTCACACAAAATGCACCATTTAGTAGTTTGAAAAGCGTGGTTAATCTGCATCCAAGTTAGAGAAAAGAACAGGACCCTAATCCTCCACGCGACGTTCGTGTTATATTTACACCGGTCTCGCGTGTCGAGTACATCTAGCCTCTGAGTCCTCTGAGTCGCCACGCTCCTCTGTTTTCCCCTAGCTAGGTGCATCGGGAGTCCCCATGATGCTATATTTGAGCTGGTCCACTAACAGATTAGTTGGATGACTAGCTAGATAAGAAGGCTTAGTGGGGATTCCTTTACATGGCGCGTTATTAGATGTGCCAAGAGCTATATTGATCCAGAGACCAGAATTTGAGCCCTGAATTCAACTACAAAAAACATTTTGGCTGTTGGAAAAGAAGATCGTGTTGATTGGAATTGTAAGTAGTCCTAGCTAGTGCTGCGTCCAGTTTTGTTTCTTGATACTCTCTCTCTACAAAATCATAATCCCATTTTATGTGTGTGCGCTGTGCAAGCCGCAGGAGATCTTGAGTAGATCAGGGATCAGTGTGTACGTGAGAAGAGTCGGGCAAGCAGCAATGGAGCATGTGGTGGGTGCTTCGGAGGCCACCATGAGGTCTCTGCTGACCAAGCTCGGGGGCTTACTCTCCCAAGAGTACGCTCTCATCCGTGGCGTCCGGGGAGACATCCAGTACATCCGCGACGAGCTGACGAGCATGCAGGCGTTCATCCGCGACCTGAGCGGCACGCCGGAGGGCAAAGGCGACGAGCACGACCACCGGATGAAGGACTGGATGAAGCAGATCCGCGACGTCACCTACGACATCGAGGACTGCATCGACGACTTCGCGCACCGCCTCTCCCACGACCCCGGCGGCGACTACCTGTGCGGCTTCGTCGTGTCCAGGGTGTACGAGATCCTCACATGGTGGCCTCGCCGCGACATCGCCTCCAACATCGCGGAGCTCAAGATGCTGGCGCAGCAGATCGGCGAGCGGCGCACGAGGTACGGCGTCGAGAACCCCCAAAAAAGATCGGGAGATGAGAACAAATCCGGTCCAGCCACCATTGGATTTGATGCCGCCGAGAACCAGCACACAAACCTTGAGAGCTGGTGGGAGTGGAGGCCTACATGAAGGAGCTGACGAAATGGGTGACGAACGAGACATACCAAGACGGCGTGCTGTCCGTCCTCGGTTTCGGAGGGGTGGGGAAGACAACCATCGCCACGGCACTGTACCGGCAACTCGGCGATCAATTTGACCGCCGGGCGATGGTCACGGTGTCCCAGAGCTCCGACGTTGAGGCCATCTTGAGAAGCATACTTGAACAAGTCATGCCGCAGTCCAAGGATGGTCAGGAGCTGCAGGGTGGCCACGCCTCCCAGAAGAAGCTTCTACATCAGGCAGTCATCAGCTACTTGCATCCTCTCATGCCCAAGGCCCTCCGACGCCGAAGCAGCTCCAACTCCAACTCCGACAACTCCAAGATTAGAGAGGGGAAGCTAACGCGTCTCCCGAGAGCTCTCACCCTGGATCGCCAGTATGACCACGATCCGCAGGACGGCAACGATGCTGCCGCCGGCTCATCTGAGACAGTAGTAACAACCCCTGCAACGAAAGGCACGGCCACCTCCGATGAAAAGCCTACTAGTGTCATTGCTACCATACGGGGTGCCTTCAGGCCCTGGGATCGCCGTCGCCACCCACCGCAGGATGACAAAGGTGGTAGCACCTCAGGCTCAGGGAAGGAGGCTATTAACATTCAAACAATGAACAAGCCCGGCGAAAAAAACATTCAAACCATGAAGCGTGACGGTCTCTCAAAATTGCTGCAGGAGCACCTAAATCAAAAAAGGTACTTCGCCTCAACCCCTTGCTTCGTCATGATTGATAGATATCATATACACCTGCATTTTATGGCAAAATATCGAATAGGCTTTACTGTACTCTTCAGATAATTAACTTGGAGCTAGCATGCATATATATCTCCTATAGATTAAATTCTTCAGAAGAAGGGCTTATGTATGAAAATAAAGAGTTCTTAACGACATAAGCTTAAATCCATTAGAAATTCCAAATTACACATGCCACATGAATTGATTTATCACTAGCTAGTTGATAATATTATTGGCAACATACATACAAACAAACAAACAAACACACACACTCACACACATATTTGTTAAGTTATATCCTGAATGATATTTTTACTCTGCTCCTGTACGTGGACTAATATTGATTTCATCCAATACATAACTTAATATGAAAATATACCACATCATCATCCACTAGCAATTACAATTCTAAATCATTTTAAATCTCATGCAATACAGACATATCATCTACAATTTATTATATTATAGAGCTCAATATACAAGTATATGTCTAATCATCGTCTTCACATCATTTTAACAATATTTCAATATATATCATTTCTATAATATTTAACATAAATTCATCCATAAATTCCTCAGCAAAGTATAAGGTATCACCCACTAACTACTAGTTACTGTCCGCTTAACCTATTAGAGGTAATACTATATGATTACAAAAAAAGGAAATGAACAATAAACTAGCTTCCGAGTGTTATTGAAGAATTGTTGTTTATTAATAATACATGTAAAATAGTATAGTCTGACTTCCAATGGACACATTTGAATTACAATTTGCAACCATCATATTTATACCGGCCAGTAATTTTTTAATTGTATTTAGAATATATTATCAAACCGGGCTATATGACAACAGTTACATTTTTTTTTGCTACAAGTAATTCAAATCTTCAAATCAGCTAATTTATTTCTAGCTACAAACCACAGTAGATAGAATACGAAAATTTAGATATGCAATTTAAAAATAACAAAAAATTAGAATTAAACATAAGTAATATTAGAAGAGGAGATTAGAGTCCATACAAGTATACAATTTGAAACTAATTGAAATTCAGAATTAAAAAATAAAAAAATAAAAGTAGAAGTCAAAGTCCAGATATAAATATAATTTATAAATAACTATAATTCAAATTTAAAAAAAGGAATGTTGCGAGAGGTCTATAGTCATATAGAATATAATTCAGAAAAAAATGAAATTCAGAATTAATAAAAAAGAAATATTGAAAGATGAGTTTAGAGTCCATATAGAAATACAACCAGAAATAATGAAAATTTGAAATTAAAAGTAGAGTTTAGAGTTCATATAGAAATACAATTGAAAATAACTAAAAATTCAAAATTTAGAAAATAAGCCAGATTGGTAGAAGAGTCTATAGTACATATAGAAATACAATTTATAAATAACTGAAATTCGAAATTAAAAAATAAGGAATATTGGAAAAGAAATTATAGAGTACATATAGGAATACTCCCTACGTCCAAAAATATGAGACCTATTTCTTTTTGCACCAAGACCAAGGAACAATTAATTCATTCACCATCTGATAAAACCAATAGATATGCAACCAATAACTTATAAAAATGACTTCTTAGGTTCCGATCAGCAATTTAATTTAGCACATGGTGGCTACAAATAGGACTTAGACTTTTGGAAAAACCAAAGAATGGAATAGGTCTCAGACTTTTCGATGGAGGGAGTACAATTTATAAATAACTGAAATCAGAATTAAAAAATATTAAAAAAGTCTAGAGTCCATATATGAATACAATTTACAAATAACAAAAAGTAGAAATTAAAAATAAGAAACATTGAAAGAAGAGTTCAAAGTCTATATAGAAATACAATTTACAAATAAATAAAATTTGGAGTTAAGAAAAATGAATATTGCAAGAAGAGTCTAGAGTCCATATAGAATAATGAAAATTCAAAATTAAAAAAAAAGGAATATTGACGGAGGAATCTGGATTCCGTATATGGGAATAAAATTTATAAATAATGAAAGTTTGAAATTGTAAAAAGGAATATTGAAAGAGGAGTATAGATTCCATATATAGGAATAAAATTTATAAGTAATGAAAATTTAAAATTTAAAAAATATTAAAAGAGGAGTCTAGACTCCATATGAAAAGACAATTTAGAAATAACTAAGATTCAAAATTAAAAAATAATTAATAATTATCACGTATATACAATACAATATGAATATCATATATTGGTTATTTTGCTCAACTTAGCACATAATATAAAATTATGTTGTCATTTTAATATATTTTTATAATAAAGAATGAAAATATTTAAGCTATTAAATGAGAAAAAAATATAATGATGCTAGCCGTGTAATACGCACTGGCTCCATGCTAGTTTGGAATTATTCAAACAAATATTAAGCAATGATCGAAACAACCACTGAATATATACTTAATGCTCTTCATCTAAAACTTGTTGGGTGGCCTGCGCAATTGCGCGGCTAGCACCCATACAAAATTATATATTTTTTAATATAATTTTACTTAAAATTTATTAAATAGCTATCTCGCTGTCTTAAGCCATACCTTATCATCTCCGTGTTTCTAATTTATAGTTTTTTAAAAGTCATTCCATTTGCTACCCCTTATTTCTACCATCTCCTTCTTTATTTGTTTGCTTGATCTATCATTTTTTCTACTCATTCTTCTTAGAACCTTTAAAAATTGGATCGTATAATTTTCAGAGTTTATTGTCTCGTTGGGTTTTCTTTTCAGAATTTCTAGAAGTCTCGTCAAATGTTACCATTATACTTTTGTACGACCCATCCACTGTCTCTTCTCTTTATTCTCATTCAGATTTTAAAAATCGGACATAATTATTATTTGGGTTCATTTTTTTACTTTATAGATGTTCCGCCAAACCGTCAGGCTTTGCCACTGTACTCCTCTATGGCTCACCCTTTCTTTTTTGGCATTGAGACTTTAAAATCAAACATAATTATCATTGTGTTTTTTTTTACTTTTTAGAAGTCCCGGACCTTTAAAAATTGGGCCTTGCAATTTTTAGAGTTTATTATCTCATTGGGATTCATCCGCCGCCTACTCATTATTGTCATTGGGATTCTAAAAATCGATCATAACTATCGTTGGAATTTATTTTTACTTTTTTAGAAGTCCTGCCAACTATTGACGGCTATACCACTTTACTCCTGTACGACCCGACCGCTGTCTCTCCTTTTTATTTTTATTGATATTTTAAAAATTGAATATGATTATCATTGGGGTTTATTTTTTTACTTTCTAGAAGTCCTGCCAACCGCCTTGACCGGCTGCTTCACGGCCCGTCCGTCATCACTCCTTTTAATCGTTATTAGGATTCTATTTGGTGTTTTATAATAGTTTTTAGATGTCCCATCAACCGCCACCATCTTACTACTTTATAGGCATGTTACTTAATTAATCTCGTCATGTGTTTTAGATGGTCTTTTTCTTTCAATAGCCTTTATTTTTTTCTCACCAATTTTAGTTATTTATAAATTGAATTTCTAGTTGAAATCTTCTTTATATTTTTCTAATTTCAGAATTTATTTTATTTTTATTTTGAATTCTAATTAATATAGTATTATGTTCTTTTAATATTTTAATTTTTTATTTTCAATTTTAGTTGTTTTAAAATTGTATTCACACTTGAACTCTCTTTTTAGTTTGTCTAATTTCGTATTTTATTTTATTTTTTATTTTGAATTTTAATTAATCACGTATTGGATTCTAATATGGACTTTTCTTTCAATATTACTTATTTTAATTCCGAATTTCAATTAAACTTAAATTGTATTCCTACTTGAACTCTTCTTTATTTTTTTCTAATTTTATTTTATTTTATTTTGATTTTGAATTAGTCTCGTATTGGGTTTTTATATGGACTCTTCTTTCAATATTGTTTAACTTTAATTACGAATTTTAGTTATTTTTAAATTGTATTTCTACTTGAACTCTTCTTTTCTTTTTTTTTGCTAATTTCGGATTTTATTTTATTTTTATTCCAAATATTAATTAATCTCGTATTGGGTTCTTATATGAACTCTTCTTTCAATAGTGCTTATTTTTAATTTTGAATTTCAGGTATTTTTAAATTGTATTTCTACTTGGACTATGCTTTTCTTTTTTTCCGATTAATGTGGGAATTTCTAGCTCCCACAGCCAACGTGGTGTCTAATTTCAAAGTTGTTTTAATAATATAATTGATACTACTAGCTAATATCTAATGACTAAAAGACACTTGATGTATATTTCTATCTATATTACACATGATCACTAAATCATTTAATTTCTATTATCTGAAAGAAAAATATTACACATGATCACAGACTATATAAAATTTTGCTTTATTACTTGAGGGCTAATTAAGATTTAGTGGGCACAGTTGAGTCGGTTAGATGTGTAACATGAGTAATACCTTTTTACCCCGTCTGAAAAGTTTTTTTTTTCTACATTATGGTTCAGACTATTTTTCAATTGCAGGTATTTCCTATTAATTGACGATGTGTGGTCTGCCACAACTTGGGAGCAGATCAGAAAGCACTTGCCTACAGATAACCTAAGCTACAGAATAATAGTTACCACAAGGTTTCAAGCTGTTGCTACCGCATGTAAAAGGAAAGAAAGTGACCGCATTCACAAAGTGGATGTTCTTCGCGGAAAAAAACCCGAAAAACTCTTCAATGAAGTCGAGTCCGAATCCAGAATCAGCAAAGATGGTGAACGGAAAGAGATAGATGATGGTGAACAGAAAGAGAGAGAAGGTCAACAGAAAGAGATAGATGGTGAACAGAAAGATATAGTGCGTCCCCGCAGGATCTGGGAAATGTGCAGCGGGCTTCCATTGGCCATTGTCACCATGGCTGGTCACGTGGCCTGCAACTCAGACAAAGATGAGACACATTGGCTTAATGTCTGTAAATCTCTAGTTCCAGAGTCGGGAAGAGATATGACACAGGAGGGTGTAACCAGAATACTTGGTCATTGCTACAATGATATGCCTGCCGAGCTGAGGACTTGCTCTCTGTACCTGAGTATATTCCCGAAAGGCAACAAGATTAGCAGGAAGCGGCTGACAAGGCGATGGATAGCTGAAGGCTTTGTCAGTGAGAAGCAGGGGCAGAGTGTGGAGGATGTTGCGGAGGCATGCTTCTGTTGGAAATATAGTCATTAATCGGCATATTTTAATCCAAAAGGTTAAAGCAATGATCATGGCATAAGCAGTGTAGGGTGATCTTTACATAATCAGTAGCATACTATACGCATCATGAATGTCAGGAACAGGAACATAACAGTAACGCGATAACATGCTAGAGGCACCATGTAGAACAGGAACAAGAACATAGCGCACATAGTATAGCGATAGCGCTAACAACAGTAGCAGGAGGAGAAGATTATACCCCGAGAATGGCCCTCCGCTGGATGGTGAGGCAGAATTGCCTCCGTTGTTGTTGTCGTTCACGGCACCTCCTGACGCACCAGCTCCGGATCCAGCTCCTGTCGGCGGCGTACCACCTCCGACAGCAGTGGCGGCGGCAACTCCAGACATGGCGATGAGCAGTCGTGCGGGAGGCACTCCCCAAAAACCTGATCACCCGCCTACCCGGTGCAGATCTCAGGCGAAGGTGTGGTTTTGGAGGCACTGCTCCTTCCAATCTCTCGTGCGCGCAAGAGATCAGAAGCGAGGAAGCGAGAGCAACTCAGGCGCGCGGAGAAGGAGAAACTAACACCGGGAAAGAAGCGATGAAACCGGATTGGACTCGCGGCCTCCTTATCTATTAGGAGAAAGAACGTGGACGCGCTGTTGCGGAGGGAATCGTGGGAACGTGGGTTAGTGGCTGCAAAAGGATAGCGACGTGACGTGACGTGACGCACGCACGCACACCGCCAGCCACGCCACGCCCTCGCCCTCGCCCACGGCCCGGCCCGGCGCGCGCGCGCGCGCGTGGCATTCCGACCCCCACCTCAACTGGTCAACAGGGAGCCTCCAATAACTCCCTATTTAGGTTGAGATATTTCTCGCTTAAATCCTGAGGTGGTATTATTATCCTCAACACTTATTATGGGCCTTTGAGATTTAATATTATAAGTTGGGCCTAGCCCAATTATTCTAACAATCCCCACCAAATTTCAAGGCTCATAAGAAATGTTCTCAATGTTGTGCCTGTTTGATATACCAGGGTTTTGGTGGAGACTGTTAAGTTGAATTTCCACCTAGGAAATGAGCTACATCAGATCACAACTGAACAATTGACTATGTCTTGAATTGTGAGTTTTGTGTGATCAGGTTTCACTCAGAACCTTGACTAGTACTGGGCTGCCATTCGCATCCCCTCTGTTTGGAGCATACAAGTCAAACTCCAGGCCTTTCATGAGTATCTAGAGATCGCCCAAACCTCATAGACTGTGACTAACAGTTGAACTCATATAGGTATGTTCCTTCTGAGATGTTCTGCAGGTCAACATCTCTGCTTGGAAAAGCCACTCGGATCACATTAATACATAAGCCATCCTACCATGCAGGAAAGAAGAGAAGCACATCATGAAAATGAGCCCTTTTCAAGGGTCTCTTCTCTCAGTCACACAATAGTTTGTTTCACCATTCAAATTCACGGGATCTCCGATCACAATGGACAGGTTTCCACTATTATGCAACCTTAGGTGGGTATCAAGCCCATTTCCCTCGATGCACTGTCTATCACATTACGTGGTAGCCCCTTGGTAAACTAATCTACCAGATTTCTAGCCGTTTGGACATAGTCCAATGCTATCACTCCGGAGTTTTTCTACTTTCTGACAGATTTTAGTCTTCTCTTGATGTGTCTAGATGACTTCATGTTGTCCTTTGAACTGTTCACTTTAATAATCATTGTTTGATTATCGCAGTTCATTAGGATAGCTGGCACTGGTTTTTCAACCACCGGCAAATCCATCAGGAGTTCACGAAGCCACTCGGCCTCAACTGTCGCAGTATCTAGTGCTGTAAGTTCTGCCTCCATTGTTGACCTCGTTAAGATGGTCTGCTTGCAAGACTTCTAGGAAACAGCGCCACCTCCAAGTATGACCACATATCTACTTGTGGCTTTTATCTCATCAGCATCAGATATCCAGTTTGAGTCACTATACCCTTCTAGTACTTTTGGATACCCGGTATAGTGAATTCCATAGCTCATAGTGCCCTTTAGATAGCGCATTACTCTTTCCAGAGCCTGCCAATGATCATCTCCCGGATTTGAGACAAACCGGCTCAGCTTGCTTACAGCAAATGAGATGTCAGGCCTCGTTGCACTAGCCAAGTACATCAATGAACCAATGATTTGAGAGTATCTCAGCTGATCCCTTACTATTCTTTGGTTTTTCCTTAATAGCACGCTGGGATCATAAGGAGTAGGAGCTGGCTTGCAGTCACTATATCCAAAGTGATTCAAAACCTTGTCCACATAGTGGGATTGCATAAGTGTAATCCCACCCTCATCTCCTCTTTGTAGTTTGATGTTAAGAATAACATCAGCCTCTCCCAAATCCTTCATTTCAAAACTCTTGGACAGATAGTCTTTGACCTCCTCAATCACATTAAGGCTGGTCCCAAAGATCAGTATGTCATCGACATATAAGCACAAGATCACCCCTTCTCCCCCACCATAGCGATAGTATACACATTTGTCAGCTTCGTTCACAACAAAGCCTGCAGATGTAAGCGTGGTGTCAAACTTCTCATGCCATTGCTTAGGCGCTTGCTTGAGGCCATACAAGGATTTCAATAGTTTACACACCATTCCCTCCTGACCTTCTAGTACATATCCGTCTGGTTGATCCATATAGATCTCCTCCTCCAGCTCTCCGTTTAGGAAAGCTGTCTTAACGTCCATCTGATGGACGAGAAGACCATGAGAGGCTGCCAGAGCAAGTAGTACTCGAATCGTGGTCAAGCGAGCAACTGGTGAGTATGTGTCGAAGAAGTCCTCGCCTTCCTTTTGGGTATAACCCTTGGCCACAAGCCTTGCCTTGTACTTTTCGATTGTACCATCAGGCCTAAGCTTTTTCTTGAAAACCCATTTGCATCCTACGGGCTTGCACCCATATGGACGCTCAACGACTTCCCAAGTACCATTAGACATAATCGAGTCCATTTCACTGCGTACTGCTTCCTTCCAGTAGTCAGCGTCAGGAGATGAATATGCCTCTTCTATGGTTCTTGGGGTGTCATCCACGAGGTATACAATGTAGTCATCTCCAAAGGATTTTGCAACCCTTTGTCTCTTACTCTTGCGAGTATCTACAATGTTGTCCTCCTCAGGATTTTCCTTAGGCGTTTGATCATTGTGTTCTATCGGTGCAAAGTGCTCATGGGGCATGACAGTTTCTTTACTAGAAGTGCTAGGTGTATATTTCATAGGAAATTCATTCTCAAAGAATGTAGCATCTCTGGACTCAAGAATTGTACCAACATGCATGTCGGGTACTCCAGAGTTTACTATTAAGAATCTATAATCCACACTGTGGATAGCATAACCAAGAAACACACAATCAACAGTTTTTGGTCCAAGTTTCCGCTTTTTGGCTATAGGTACATTTACTTTGGCCAAACAGCCCCATGTTCGTAGGTATGAGAGATTTAATTTCTTCCTTTCCCATTCCTCGAATGGTGTTACTTCCTTATGCTTCATTGGAATTTTATTCAGGACATGACACGCAGTCAAAACTGCCTCACCCCACCATTCCTTGGAAAGCCCCGCAGTGTCTAACATGGTATTCACCATCTCAGTTAGAGTACGGTTCTTTCTTTCGGCCACCCCATTTGATTGGGGTGAATAGGGAGGCGTCATCTCATGAATAATTCCAAACTCTTCGCAAAAGGATGCAAACTCATTGGAAAAATACTCCCCACCTCTATCAGACCTCAACCGTTTGATTTTCCTTTCAAGTTGGTTTTCTACCTCAGCTTTATAGATTTTAAAGTAATGCAATGTCTCATCCTTTGTTTTCAATAGATACACATAGCAAAATCTAGTGCAATCATCTATCAGTGTCATGAAATATTTCTTTCCCCCTTTAGTCAACACGCCGTTCATTTCGCACAAATCGGAATGAACATGTTCTAGAGGTGCCAAATTCCTCGCCTCAGATGCCTTGTGTGGCTTGCGAGGTTGTTTCGATTGAACACAAGTATGGTACTTGGAACCTTTTACCAAAGTGAATTTTGAAATTAAACTCATGTTAGCTAAGCGCGTCATACAACCGAAATTCACATGACAGAGTCGCGAATGCCACACATTAGACTCATCATTCTCGCTAATATGGTTCACAGCATTATGATTATTACACATGTCATTCAAAGAAAAGCGGAACAAGCCTCCGCTGTCATAACCTTTTCCAACAAAAGTCCCATATTTAGATACGACACATTTATTGGACTCAAACACAAGTCTAAAACCTTCTCTACACAATAGAGAGCCGCTAACTAGATTCTTCTTTATTGAAGGGACATGCTGCACGTTCTTCAGCTGCACGGTCTTTCCCGAAGTAAACTTCAGATCGACCGTACCAACACCATGAACAGCCGCAAGCGACCCGTTTCCTATCAACAAGGAGGAACCTCTCCCGACCTGATAAGAAGAAAACAGAGAAATGTCAGCACATACATGAATATTAGCACCAGTGTCTACCCACCAATCAGGTGAATGAAAAACAGAGAGAACTGTAGGTAATATTTTACCGTACCCCGATGTTCCTCCTCCCTCGCTAATGATCATGTTGGCAGACTTCCTGTCTTTGCGCTCAGGACAGTCCTTGGCCCAATGCCCAGACTTGCCACACACAAAGCAGTCTCCCTTTGCCTTTCCCTTGCCTTTCTTCTTAAAATTGGTTGCAGTCTTGGGTTTGACATCAGGCTTGACTTTCTTGTTGTTGTGGGATGCATGAGGGTTCTTCTTCTGTACCATATTGGCACTAGAACCTCCCTCAACCTTTTTGCCCTGGACGTCCTTTGCCCTCGCCTTCTTCTCAACACCCAAAGAGCCAATGAGATCAGGAACACTGAACTCTTGTCTCTTGTGCTTTAGAGAAGTGGCAAAGTCCGACCAAGAAGGTGGTAGTTTGGCAATAATGCCACCTGCCACAAACTTGTCCGGCAACTCACAGTTGTTGTTCTCAAGTTCCTTAGCCAGCATCTGAATCTCATGAGCTTGTTCTACTACAGAACGGTCATCGACCATCTTGTAGTCATAGAACTGCTCCATAACATACAGCTCACTGCCGGCGTCAGAAACTCCGAACTTGGCCTCAAGTGCATCCCACATGTCCTTCCCAGAAGGCATGTGCATGTACACGTCCACTATGTTGTCAGCGAGTACACTGATCAATGCTCCACGGAACAGGCAATCCGAAGCCTCGAACTTAGCCTCTTCCTCAGGAGAAAGAGGTGGTTCACTTCGTTTGCCCCGTGAAACATAGAAGCACTGCATCGCTGTCAACCACAATAGTGCACGTGCTTTCCATCTCTTATAGTTTGAACCATCAAAAGCATGTGGTTTCAGTGCAGCAGCAAAGCCAACTACCGAAAATGACCTATCAGGTTTTTGGATTGTTGGAAATATAGTCATTAATCGGCATATTTTAATCCAAAAGGTTAAAGCAATGATCATGGCATAAGCAGTGTAGGGTGATCTTAACATAACCAGTAGCATACTATGCGCATCCTGAATGTCAGGAACAGGAACATAACAGTAACGCGATAACATGCTAGAGGCACCATGTAGAACAGGAACAAGAACATAGCGCACATAGTATAGCGATAGCGCTAACAACAGTAGCAGGAGGAGAAGATTATACCCTGAGAATGGCCCTCCGCTGGATGGTGAGGCAGAATTGCCTCCGTTGTTGTTGTCGTTCACGGCACCTCCTGGCGCACCAGCTCCGGATCCAGCTCCTGTCGGCGGCGTACCACCTCCGCCAGCAGTGGCGGCGGCAACTCCAGACATGGCGATGAGCAGTCGTGCGGGAGGCACTCCCCAAAAACCTGATCACCCGCCTACCCGGTGTAGATCTCAGGCGAAGGTGTGGTTTTGGAGGCACTGCTCCTTCCAATCTCTCGTGCGCGCAAGAGATCAGAAGCGAGAGCAACTCAGGCGCGCGGAGAAGGAGAAACTAACACCGGGAAAGAAGCGATGAAACCGGATCGGACTCGCGGCCTCCTTATCTATCAGGAGAAAGAACGTGGACGCGCTGTTGCAGAGGGAATCGTGGGAACGTGGGTTAGTGGCTGCAAAAGGATAGCGACGTGACGCACGCAGCCAGCCACGCCCACGGCCCGGCCCGGCGCGCGCAGCATTCCGACCCCCACCTCAACTGGTCAACAGGGAGCCTCCAATAACTCCCTATTTAGGTTGAGATATTTCTCGCTTAAATCCTGAGGTGGTATTATTATCCTCAACACTTATTATGGGCCTTTGAGATTTAATATTATAAGTTGGGCCTAGCCCAATTATTCTAACAGCTTCAACCATCTCGTGAGGAGGAAGATCATACGTCCCGTGGAGCACAGCAGCAACGGCAAGGTGAAGAACTGCCAAGTCCATGACATGGTTCTTGAGTACATCGTGTCCAAGGCGAGTGAAGAGAACTTCGTGACGGTGGTTGGAGGGTATTGGCTCATGCCGCCACCCAGCAGCAAAGTGCGCAGGCTGGCCATCCAAAGTGGTGATTCCAAACGTGGCAGTGGCACAGACAGCATGAACCTATCTCATGTCCGATCACTGACCATGTTTGGAAGCCTGAGCCAGCTGCCATCCAATTCATTCAAGTTCGGAATTGTTCAAGTGCTTGATCTCCAAGGTTGCAAGGGTTTCAAACAGCATCATACCAAGGAGCTATGCAACATGCTTCTAATCAAGTATCTAAGCCTCCGAAGGACTGACATTAATAAGCTTCCTAAAAAGATTGGGAAGCTACAGTATTTAGAGATCCTTGACATAAGGGAGACAAATGTGACGAAGCTGCCTAGAAGTGTCTGCCAGCTTGAGCGAGTGGCTAACATACTTGGTGGCAACAAACGAACAAGGAAGGCATTGAAGCTCCCTGCTGAAGATGTCAAGAAAACAATCAAGTCGCCTTGGGGAAAAGAAGCAAAGGAGTCCGGCGGCAAAAAAACACTGAAGACCCTGCGCATTCTGTCAGGTATTGAGATAGTCGGAGAATCGACTGCAGAAGGAGACTTCCACCACCTGACTGATCTAAGAAAGCTCGCCATCTACAAGCTCAACGTCAGAAGAGGAGATAAACCTTTTGAGAATCTAATATCCTCCATCGAGTACCTCTGTGGCTACTCTCTGCACACCCTCGTAATCGAGGACGTCTCATCGGAGTTTCTGGAATCACTAGGTGATCTTTCTTCCCCTCCCAAGTTTCTCAAGTCCCTTGAGCTGTCTGGCAAGTTGGTTGAGCTCCCCAGATGGATCACACAGCTTGAAGAACTCACAAAGTTGACTCTTTCGGTGACAGTTCTGAGGACAGATAACTTGAGAAGTATCAGCCAATTGAAAAAACTGTTCTCTCTCACCTTTTCCCTTTCAGGCGCAAAGCCTGATCCACTGTCAACAGCCATTCTTGAGGAGAACAAGAACTACTCTGATGGGGAAATCTTAGTTCCAGCAGGAGGATTTGAGAATCTGAAGCTCCTTCGTTTCTCTGCTCCTCTCCTGCCCTTGCTGAACTTTCAGGAGAAGGCTATGCCAAGCCTTGAGAGACTTGAGCTACGGTTCAGGATTTTCGAGGGACTTTTTGGCATACAAAACCTGGAAATCCTAAAAGAGGTGCATCTCCGGGTAAATTACAGAGCAGGTGAGGTCACCAAGTCCATCGTACAAAATGTGGCAACTCAAGTGAAGAAAGAGGCCACCAAAAGTGTGGCAACTGAAGCGAATAAAGAAAATGTAGCATCTGCAACGAACAAAGAGGGCACTGAGTTCATCATAGAAAATGTGACACTTGAAGCAAATGAAGCTACTGCCGCGATGAAAGAGGCCACCACGTCAACCGTAGAAAATGTGGCAACTGAAGGGAATAAAGAAAATGTGACAACTGACACGAATAAAGAAAATGTGGCAACTGCAGAGAAGAAAGAGGTCAAGGGGCCCATAATAATTGTTGATCAGTATTACGACTGATCGAAATTCCAATATCTATGAAAAACGATGTGACAAGGCTTTGCTATCCGTTTTACTGTTCAATTACCCTCCTCTACTTTATAGCAGGTGATTAGGGAGTGTTTTACTTAGAATCATAAGTGACATGATTTATAGTTCTTAACACTTCTCTCGTTCAAAAAAGAAAACAGTTCTTAACACTTCATTGTATCCACCTAATTAAAACGTTTAGGTGTGTGAGTTTTTTGGGTTGTATCCATCTCTGCTATGCAGAGGGTGGGAGTGAGATCTTAATATATTGTATCACTTTGGTGTAAGAAGTATCTTGGTTTTTCTGAAATGTTCTCTTTATGTTTAAAAGAAGCATCCATTTGCCTTGTGCGTGTGTTGAAACATGAAGTTCGTATATAGGATACTTTGAGAAGTCCCCTAATTACACTCTTATTTTAATTTACAGAATTGCTAAATTTCATTTGATAGAAATTTAGGGATGAATTCTTACTGATTTTGAAACATTGGATCCGTGCCAAGATTCGTGCATCGGCTTCTTCTCCTCCAACTCTGGCGGGCTCCCCTTCTTCTCCGGCACCAGTGACACCCCCAATTCTGGTAGGGAGCATACGGATTAGGGTTTGAGGTTGGACTTGGGGTAGGAGAGGTTGAGGGAGGGGGAAGAGACAGGTTTCCCCAAGGCTTAGAGGGATGACCATGGGTGATGGAGGACCGGTGGTGGGTGGTAGACACGGGCGGGCGGCACTCGGCACCACCACCTTGGGAAAGAGCAGGGGGAGGGGATGAGTCTGGGCAGGGTGGGTGAATGGGAGCTCGTCAGTACCGTTGACCCCTTCCGGCCAGTCGGTGAGGCCGATCAGTGGCGTGGCGGTTTGGTAGGGTTGTGGCCCAGCGACTGCGCAGGAGGCGGAGGAATGCTCATCGTGTGCGCGAGTGTGTGATAGCGGTGGCAGGGGAGGGCATACTAAAGAAGGGAAGGAGGAAAAATAGGGTTTAGGTATATTGCTGTTGATTGAAAATCTTGTGCTTGGCCGATGGTGTCGGATCTGTGTTGGCGCGGGCTTAGTCGATAATAGCAACGTCCTGGGAGATCTGCTTAGCTCCAGTGCAGGACCAAAGGTTGATGAGTTGCGAGCGTGCCAGTCAGTTTGATCCTGCAGCTGACAAGATATACAAATAACGGCTGACAAGCCGATGGAGTAGTTCCAGCCTAATGAGGACATCCCAACTACACTTGACGTAAACAAGGGTGATGGTTTACGTCATACATCACATGAAGAAAATAAAGATGACGTAAACCAAGTTGATGGATACGTCCCAACAAGAATGATCAAGCATACCATGGTCCAATTACGCGCAGCCGTGCTAGGAAAATACAACAAGAGGTGAACTCGCTCTTTGCTCAACTTAACCTAGATTTTAGTGAGAATTTTATACTACCTAAATGCTCTACCTTTGTATTGCTAAGGTGTACGCCCGAGCACATCATCACTACACCAAGAAGGATGGGTTACGTTGAGGACGACAAGGGTTACGCCGAGGAGGAATCAACCCATGCCCAACCAGCAGCTTTTTACGCCAACAAGAAGATGGTTTACGCTGCCAAGGCTCAACTTCCAAGGCTTGTGCGACCCAGCCAGTCAAGAGACAGGGTGCATGGCATACATGGTTGGAAAGAGGGACAAGTCTAGTTTCCAACGCATCAAACCCCACCTCAATATCATTTTCCAATAAGAAGTTATGCCATTATTACTGAAGACTGCGCAGGAGCTAAAGGGCTGTGCGCGAACCCGAGAAAACTCTTTGCATTCTCATTTATGTTAGCCTTGACCACCAGAATGTGGCTTCTTATGTTCACATCTCAGCTAGGAGGGATGTTCCTAGTATAAATACCCCTATGCTCCATCCATTAGAGAACTTTTGTTCAACTGAAAACCTCATGTATGAGAGATTGCTGAAGACTGCATAAGTGTCTTACCCCTTTGTTCTTGTGAGTTCTTTTGGACTTGTGAGAAGGCTCCTCTGGCGCCCCCTAGTTCGTGCTCTATGGCTTCTAGTTCGGCTGCACCGTTTTGTATGGATTAGTCCTGAATTGTGGTTCTGTGATTGCTCGGTTTGACGGGTCGGAGTCCAGGAGGCTTCGGATCGTTCTCACCCTCACCACTTGGTCGCATCCAACCTTGGCAGGTATAAAGCTAGTTATTCCGAATCGTGGTTCTGCGGTTGTTCGGAGATCGAGTCGAAGTCTTCATGGTTTTGGTGCCTCTCTCCCCGTCGCTTGGTCGCATCCAACCTTGGCAGGTATAAAGCTAGTTATCCCCTTTCTGTTCGCAGCTAGTTATCCTTTTGAGTACGGTTTACGCTGGTGCTCTTTTGCCTCGAACTTACTGCCATGAAGATCGGGCCACCCCTCGCGAGTGTGTTCGCATTATAGCCGATGCTGATACCAGCTGATAGCATTAAGGTTCTGAGCTATCGGCTATGTGTTTGATGTAGAATCTGACACTTGATGTAAATAATAATATGGTGCTTTGGAGATTATCTTCACCGGGTTCACGCATAGGATGAAAAGAGTAATGCGAATGCTGCAACCTGTCCTGGTAAATATGATTGAGGCATAAGAATTCCTCCCAAAATGCATCATATAGGGCAGTTCGCCGTGTATCACGCCTATGCCGTCTCCGGAAATAGTAAATATGGTCTTCGCCTTGAGGTGGGTTAATCTTTATAGTCATATCGTATTCCTAGAGATCTCCCTTCTGATAAGCATGTGAATAGAACTCCGGTTGTTCATTTATCTTCAACTTTTTCATCAACCTTATCAACTGATCAGTACAATCATTATCATGGATAGATATAGATGTCTCGATACGTTCTCGCTCATGCCTTTCTACCATAGACCTGAAATATACAAATAGCATATAATGTGTGTTCGTAATTTAAATCTACCCCCTTAAAGCATTAAGTTTGAACCAAATCAAACTTAGCTTAGTTAGTAATCCCTAGGGTTTGTCCTATAGTCAAGCACATGCTCTGATACCAGTCCTGTCGGGTCCCAAAACTAATAACTTGGAATCCGATTGAGCTTAATGTATCAATCCCTGGATCAGTATATATTGATACATATAATACAACTAGTTCTTCATTGCACATGTTAAAAGTTACAATACTTAGTGATTTACAAAGTGGCTACACACCTAATTAAACATGGAAAGTTATTTGCTACAGCAGAAGCTCTACTACATTTTGACTAACTAGGGCTTAGACTCTAAGGATTATCTATGTTTTCAAGGTCGTCATAGTAATAATTATAAGGGTCCTCCTCTTGACCCATATCTGAAAAAGGTTAATTGGAGCAAGTATGAGTATTCACAATACTCAGCTAGTAACTGTATAAGGATGATATGCAAGGATAGATATAAGGTGGGGTTCTTTCGCAAAACAGTTGAAATAAACAATCTGGTAATAATTAAAGAAGAGTTCACAAAGTAAATTAATTTGGTTTCTATCCAAAGTACCATGTGAGTCCCGCTGCTCAAATCCATGAGCATGGCTATTCGAATAGTTTCAAAGTTTACTCCACTGTAGTAGGTGTACGCTTTACCCACAATCCATGACATACCAATATTCTTAGTTTAGTCATGGCCTAGTATTAAGTTACTAACAATAGTGGTACCCGTTCTATAAACTTTAATCCCCATGCGCTCTGAACGTACGTTATCAGCAGCGTGAGGAGTTCTGGCATTCCCGAGATATTTAAGGAGATTCTGATTGTATGACACATGTCATCTCGATCAGGGTTTATAAACATAATATAATTATAAATTTGAGCTCAACAAACCATTTACATGTACATGGTAATGGTATAATCAGCCCTGCTCGGCTATAGTTGCCTCCTGCTCGAGGACTTAAAACAAGAACCACTACACAGAGGTACCACCTTATTAACTAACCTAATAACTAGGTCTATCCCCATTCTAGAATTGTGGTCGTACTTGTTCGTTTTTCACAAGTACTTGGCTATGCGTATGGCGATCGAGACAGTACTAGCCACCCGGAAATCAACCAAATCTCACGTACCGTCTCAATCTAAGTATCACAAGTTTTATCCAGATTGTAGACTAATGAGATAAAACTAGGTTATCTAGGTTTCTATGGTTGGATTATGCATATATTGAAGAATAAAGGAGAAATTTGAATAGAAAGGATATAAATAAATAAATAGTTTGCAAAATATGGGTTTAAATGATAAAGGAATGAACAATAACTTGCCTTGCTCGATGTCCTGATTTTGAGTGATATTATCTAAAGGTCAGAAGATTCCTCAAGACCTAGGGTTAAATTAGAAAATTCAAATTTAAAAAGAGAATTCAAATAAAATATAAAATAGGGTAAAATCAAATAAAATGAGAAAATAGCAAAGGTGGTCTCAAAAGATAGAGAATGATTTTAGAAGAATTTTGGTTCAAGTCTCACTGGATTTGGATATCTATTTTAAAAGTTATGGGCTTCTAAAGTTTGGAATTCAAATTAAATCGGAAAAAGATTAAATGTCACTGTGTGCGGGTCCCACCGGTCAGTCTCTCTCTCTCTCTCTTCTCTTCTCTTCTTCCTCCCGGCGTTCCCCAAATGCAGCCGACAGCGCTAGGGTTAGCGATTACGGCGGCGTTAGAGGGGGAAAGTGCTTGCGGCCGGGGAGGGGAGGACACTGGGGGTCTCCGACGATGGTGAGCGGCGGTGGAGGGGCTAATTTGATCTGTGGATTGTATGGCTGCTAGGTGGCGGTGGCGCAATGCTACCGAGAAGGGGATAGATGGTTAGGTAGCTAGGCATGGCTCGGGGAGGGGTTTGGGAGCATCACTAGGGTGCCTAGGTGAGGTTAGTCGGCTTTCCGACCTTTGGCGAAGCTCGGAGGATAGCTGTCCTCGAGCGCCCTGTCCGGCAGCGAGCGGACATAGCCGAGGGCCTAATAGGTGGTACAATAGAGCTAAACAAATGCGAAAAATGGACTGTTAGTGGTATGTAGATGCTATAAACGAAAGGGCGTACCGAGTAGAGCCGAGACGACGAGTTGCGGCCGGGAAAACTTCTCGGCGGCAAAAACAGGGCAGAGCAGGGACGGCGGAGCTCGGCCGAGCGCGGCGAGGCGAACGATGATGCAAGGCTCCGGCTCAGCTTCAGGATGCTAGAACATGACTTCTAGAAGGTGTTTGGGTGATTGGTTAGGGCTATAGATGGATGGATAGGTGTGAGAATGATCGCGCACAAGGTGCTCGATCGGC